TAGCGCAAGATATTCTATCTTGTATTGTTGAGCTAAAACATGAGAAAATATGTGCCTCACTTGGTAGATATGCTACCTCATCTGAGCCTTTCACACAAAGAATGTGGTATAGGCGGTCATTTCCTCATTTCTCTGACAGCACGCTCTCTGCCGAGAGAACTTTTATTTTTCATTTTTAACCTCGGCCGCATGCACAGCGAGGGTTACATAGTCGTTTTGGCTGTGTATCGACACTTATTCTAGCACTACAGGCACGAGTGACCAAGAGAGATAACCACTCTTCAGAACTATTACTCTTTTCTGAAAAGACTGATTTTAAAAAGCTATGCAGTGAAAACAAAGCGAAAAAGTCAAATATGCAAAATCGCATGGGCTTACTGCAACCAGATCCGTCGGTCTGTGTACTTGGGCTCAGAATTCACAATTAAGGTCGTGTACGACTCCCGCATGCAACCCACTGCACTAGCCAGTTCGAATTCTGCAAAGCTGCAGGGGAGACACGAGTAAACGCATACTAAAACCCAGCCAAAATTATTCGCCAGAGATGCACAGTTACGATGTGCACTTGACTAGTGCTTTCCATTTCGCAATTACTCATTTGCCCCCACCCCCCTTGGATCGATTTATAAAGAAACCCTGAAATGTACACACACGTCATGCTGGGTGGGTTCATATAGCAGAGGTGGTTGTGTTGGTTCTCATTGTACCATACCTGTGGGGGTTCTGATACTCCATCAATGACGTCTGCTAGAGCTGGGTCTCCAATCACGTCCAGACTGAATATCATCTTTCTCACTTTCATGGATCTGTCCTCTGTACATGGTACTCTACTGCACTGTCAACAGTCTCGTAACACGAGGATAGAAGAGAGGGGTTGGGACAGAGGCGGACTGAGGTCACTGGTGTCTCAAACGACCTTCTGCGTGTGGCTGTTACTTGAGGGAGTGCTGACGAAGAGACAATGACATCATCACAACTTCATCGAACATTACAAGCTATTTTGATACGCTAGAAAGATGACGGATCATACACAAAACCAACATGAAAGCAAACATAAAGCACCACTAAAGTGCAAACACCTAGGCGAACTGCATGCCAAGCGGATCACGGATACTCGGGGCGAATTGACGATGGCTGGACATATTGGAGCGGCCTTGACTAGTGGTCTCCCGTAGTAGCTCGAGCGGAGAGCCGACGACCAGCTAGCTACAGTAGTATAGATAGAACATGCGGGAGTAGTGATCGACCCTTCACTTCATGGATGACTTACTGAGCCCCCAAGGTACACAGACAGAGCGGATCTGGTCGCAGTAAACCCAGTGCGATTTTGCATTATTTTCGCTTGTTTTCACGGCATATCTCTCGAACATTCAGGAAAATCCCCCATTTAGTTTTCAGGTTCGCGTAGTTCTGAAGCCGCTGGCATCGCTAATAGGCCGCCTCATAGCGTATAGTGCCAGAACAAACATCGACATACACACAAAGACAGATAAACCAACTACTGTAACCCTCGCTGCGCATGCGCGCCAAGGATTAATTACACTACCTCTCTCAACCTATCGGACAATGTACTGTACACCTCCATTTGTATGAAAATTTCTCAAAAAGCTTGAAGCATCAAATTTTTTGGTACGTTATAATAGAAACTGGAAGCATGCGAACGTGCAAGCATGGAGGAGTTCGGAAGAGACTGTTGTATTCGCGCCTACCACGTATACAAAGAGATATGGCTGGCAGCTATAGGAGAGGAGTTGGAGTGTGACCAGAGAACCGCAAAACTCATGTGATCGCTACGCAGTAGCCGTGAAAAAGAGTGGGGTGGTCATTGGTCATTTGCCGCGAAAGCTATCGAGAGTCTGTTCGCTGTTTTTCAGGCGTGGAGGTGTTATATCCTGTACTGTGACTGGAGGGCGCAGGTACTCAGCGTACACGTGTACGCGTGTGATATTATTCGCCATGGGTAAACTTCACACGTTAACAACAATAGTCGCTGTACGCTGTTTTCCAGGTCGAAAATTTCCCAAACTACGGTATACCATCACCATCATTCACTGAGCAGTCATTACCTAACAGTTATCATTTTATTTCCTCTGTGTGGGGTGCGCGGCTCGCGGCGACTGTCTTACGTTTCTTCCACGTCCAGACTTGGTTCCCTTCTCCTTTGAACTTCTTGTGTCCCTCTTGCTTGCCTTCTCCCTGCAGTTCCTGTCTCTTTCTCTTGGCTCCAGTTCTTATTACTGCCTCCCCATCACTACTAGTAGCCATCTCTGAGTCACGTGAGTTGCGTCTGGCCGGCCGACCGGCTGTGTGTACATCGGTGAGGGAAGAACAAAGCACACGCGAGGCGCGACGCGACGCGACACGGACCGTTATGACGTTTGAGAGCCCGCGATTTCCAACTGATTTTTTTACTGATTTCCAGATTTCCACGTGATTTCCAGTTCAAGATAATAATTATTTCCGCATGATTTCTACTGATTTCCAGTGATTTATTTTTTCCATGGATGACAAGTAAATTATAAATCCTGCGAATTAAAAAAAAAGGCATAACTATAGGGATGGTATGAAAAGAAAGGGAGACAAGATAGGGATGGGATACATGAAGCATGGTTAATGAACAGATTTGAGTACGCTGACACCCCCAACCCCATCACACAATCCCTATATTGTTGCCTAGGTGACAGGTGTGCTACTCTTATAAGGGCTAAAAGTTACTAAAAGCAAGCATTCTTTCACCGTCTCCCTGTTGTTTATTGTAACATTTTATACTGCCACATTCCCTTTAATTAAACTCCACTTGGACTCTATAATAAAGGTGTTGGTTACTCAGTGTATAGTAAGTTCTGAGTATTGTAATGGTGAATGTTTAATACTTCACCTAGGCAACAATATAGGGGTTGCGGGTGTCAATGTACTCAAATCTGTTCACATGTGTCCCATCCCTACCTTTTCTCCTTTTCTCATCCCTATATAATTATAATGCCTCTTTTTTAAATTCGCAGGATTTTTAATTTACTTGCCTCCACTCATTTTTATATGCTACTACGTATTACCTCTGTGAAAGCCCCTATAAAAATTAATAATAGAGAATAAAGGCCTGTTGTCGTCATGGAAATGATATGCATAGCATGTTTCGTCTCCATGTGTGCTGCCGTTAGCAAGTTTGAGGAATGAAGAAGTAATTTTACAGAAAAGTGTCTGAGGCTTATTTGTTGTTGTGGTCGTCATGGAAACGATGTAATATACACGTGCACCAAGTTTCACCTCCATACCTCCATGTGTGCTGTCTACAATTAGCAAGTTTGAGGAGTGAAGAAGTGGTGTTAAAGAAAATTGCCTGAGGCTTTTTACAAACAAAATGCTGTCGTCATGGAAACAAGTAATCGTCAGGGAAATGATATAATAGGCATAGGTACCAAGTTTCATCTCTATGTGTGCTACCATTGCGGAGTTTGAGAAGTGAAGAAGTAAATTTAAAGAAAAGTGCCTGAGGCTATTTGTTGTTGTTTACAAACATGCATTGTTGTAATTAACCCTCGGCGCGCATGCGCAGCGAGGGTTACAGTACTTGGTTTGTCCGTCTGTCCGTCTGTCTGTCCGTCGTCTGTCCGTCTGTTACCACATTTTCTGCCACCACGCGCAACGAACAGGTAAAAAAGCGACACTAACGGGTTCAGCGCTACACTGGCTTGATTTTAGAAATGGCGATTTTCGTAAAAGTGCCGCGTTCAGAAGTTATGGCGTGAAAACCAAGTGAATAAGCCAATATGCTAATTAGCACTAACTTACCTCGACCTGATCCGCGTGCTTTGTGTACATCGGAGGCACAAGAAGTCACAACGAAGGGCGTGTATCGACTCCCGCATGTTATCTACTACTGTAGACTTTCCGCGAGCTACTAGCGGGAGATCACGGGTAAACGCAGACTAATAGGCCCAGCCCATCAATTAAAGGTACAGCGCATGCGCAGTTCGCCGAGGGTTTGCACTTCTTTTAATTTTGAGTGGTAGTGATGGGCTTGTGGGGGAGCTTCGTGGGTCAGGGATGGTAGAGTTACTTAAACAGTTGTTTGCAGTAATTTGGCGTGAGGAGTTTGTGCCACCATAGTGGTGGGAGGGCCTCATGATAGTTAACCTGACAGTGTTTAAGAACGGAGATAAGGAGGATCCTGGGAATTATAGGGGCATCACTCTGCAGAGTGTTGTTGGGAAGGTCTTTTGTAAGGTATTGAACAATAGGTTGGTGAAGTATCTGGACGAGGGCAAAGCATTGAATGAGGGACAGGCTGGTTTTAGGGTTGGAACGGGTTGTGTTGATAATAATTATTAGTGGAATGAAAAGCAAAAAAAATCAAATGAAGGGGGATGTAGGGATGGCGTAAATTATGAAAAAGGATACGAACAAGAAGATGTTTCAGCCGGAAAAAAAAATCATACATCCATCCCTACATCTTTCTCTTTGTTATCTGTATAAAAATGTGTGGGTATAATATTATAATACATGCTTCGCCCAAATTGCACACCCACCAACATGCAGATAAACCTTTGCTTGAGAAATGTGTCAAATCTGCTTGCTTGATTTGAAGTAATTTTGCTTGAAAATGCTGCATGTCCATTCACAATGTATGGGCATAGTGCATCACCGATTAGCACAAAAAAGAGGGATTTGGCGATTTTCTGGTGGGATAGGCAGTATTTTTGCTTGATAGTGTTGGTAGGTATGAAATTGCGTGGGAGGCACTGTCGCAAATCGCGGAATTGCGCTGCTAGACGGATCCCTGGGCTAGCGCATGGTTTTCCGACGCCCATTTTTGCGTCTTCCCTTGAAATTATGCGCTGGGAAAAAAACGCGAGGAAGATTTGTTAGCGCTTTGGCAGGTAGTAATCTTTCTCTTCGTTCTGAATGGCGAGTTATGTCCGGGTGTTACCCCGTGTCCGAAGTTACCCCCATTTACCTTACTTTCTGCACGGAACTCTAATACTCTGGATTTCGTAGTATCTTTGTAGCCCTTACTGCATTCCGTGGGCAGAGTTCGTTTCTGAAGTTGTAGAGTAGTTTACACAAGAGGTTCAGTGGGAAATGGAGTAATGTGAACTATGCCCTGTTTCAGAGGGAAATGGCTTGGCGCCAGATACTCTTTCGGCGCCAACTACGCATTCCAAGGACAATGATCAATGCAGTATACAACACTATAATAATAGCTTTCAAGTCGCGCTTGCATTGCAATGGCGCTATATATAATATAATATTGTTTTTCTTTGTTGTCTGAGAAACAACCAACTTTTCTTTGCCGTTTACTAGTCATTTTTCATATTATAATAATAAATTATAGCTCTGGGTGCGCGCGCTTTTGCGCCGTGTGTAAAGCTAAGCGCCGAAATTACGCCTGGCGCTGCTCAGGCGCTATTTTAAGCGCCATAGCGCCAGTTTGACATCCCTGCTGTTTTCAGTGTACCCCCAAGCAACATACTCCCAGATATACTACAATAATAATTATTATATGAGTCCAAAACAGCTCCCCATCCACATTATTGCCAATTCAGCATACTTTATGGTCAGAGGAACTCGGAAGGATGCGATTAATACACTCCAATGTTGGCCTAGCTACATCAGAACGAGAACAAAGATCTAGTCACATGCATGATTGTTGATTCTCGTGATTTTTTAGCCAAGAAGGTGTATGCACTATTTAATCTAACTTCACCCTTTCCTTAGATTTTCTTTTACTGTTTGTGAGCCTGTGCTGGGCGCAGGCTCCAGGAGATGAGGATGCACGATGTACAGTTAATCATTCAAATCCCCCACAATATCCTGACACTGTGAGGAATCTGATGGACAGTTACAACTATCAGAACCTCTTACCTTATCAGTCTTATCAGTCAGGACTTTAATCACAATGATTATGGCTACAATATTGAGATACATGTAGCCGCAATTTACTCCTTCCAGAGTTGCAGAGATCAGCAAGGTTGTATACAAAGGTTCAAACTTCTCCGCTACATTACTAACTCACAACAGCTTCCCAGTACCAGTGGAAATGGATACATGAATAATCATAATTACATTGAATTTGCAGCACCAGATGGACCAACTTCCTTAGTGACTTACACCAATACAATTTCACTCTGCCACCATCTTCCACTGGTTTCTACCTAGCTCTCCAGGACATTGGGTCATGTATAGCTCTATCAAGACTGAGAGTCTATCGTAACAACTGCAAGTCTCGGCAGGTTGGACTGGTCTCTATCCTGATGTTCCTGCTCCAGCATTTGGCTCAGCAAATATTGATATCAGTTGTGTTGAGAATGCAGATGTCTCTGGAAGCCCAAGAGCCACATGTGGCAGTGATGGAAGATGGGGTGATCAAAACCTGTGTGTCTGTGTAGACTTGGATACGAGGATAGGCAGATGGAGTGTATTGGTAAGTCATCACTTTAATGAGGCTTGTTTAAACATGAAGCTTTCACACAGCTTGTGGAGCTGGTCAGTATCATTACAGTGAAGACACTACCTGCCAGCCATGTCCTCCTAACACAGAGATGGATAAGGAGGCTGCCTCTGTCTGTAGGTGTTTGGGTGGCTACTTCAGAAACAGCGTGAACAGAATGACTGCACCAGGAACACAACCCTTCCTCCTTCCAGCTAATGAACCACCAAGTGCACCATGTATACGTAAATATATTATAGCAGAACATGTCATACTTGCAGAGCGGTAGCTAGAAAGTTAAAAGTGGGGGGGGCAAGAAACGTCACTGCGCGCGTAAGTACGGCCACTAGGGGGGTCTGCTCCCCCAGACAAATTTTGAAATTCAGGATGTACGCAGAGGCGTATGGCACGCCGTTTGTCACAAAATAACAGCTCATATCCGGCATTTTAAGCCTAAATTCCAGCATTCTAAGCTCGTCGAAACGTGACATCCCACAATGGAGTCAGTGACCAGGACCCTGATGGAGAACACCTGAGGACTGTAGAGGAGTGTACTACAACGTTAGAAGTACACAAAATTAAGTGCTCGTCTAGCATGTACAAAAAACCATGTGAGGCAAATAGAAATAAGATGGGAGCTCTGGACAGCTGTTTCGGCTTGTTGGCCATCATCAGCAGAGCATGCCACAACTTCTCTCTCTGGCATCACGAGTTTATATAGGCTGACATGAGCGCAGCACACCATCCTGTGCGTAGTGGCCTACACATGCGCGGGACTGAGAAAAAGGGTGCATCCAATACACACACACATTCCTCCCTTTGTATCCCCCTAACTTATGACTCTATTCTGGTTTTCTAAAGGTCCAGGAGTGGTTAGTGGAGTTCAGGGGACGTATCCCTATGTGGTGTAGAACCCCCCAGACTGGTGTTCAGTAGGTCAGGGACCTCAACTACGAGGACTGTCACCACCACTAATGATCATACCTTCTACATCATCCAATCTTCTGATATCCCCTGGACCTCCGGAGAGTTCAGAGTAACAAAGTCTTCTGCTTCTCTATGTATTATTGCTACCTTTCCCAATTTGCATGAGACTATAATTATACTACTGTTGCTCACAGAACAAACTTTGCTTTGGTATATAATATAAAAGTGGCATGTATGTTGGCGTTTAGAGCCCTGCCAATTAGGAAGGTAGCTCACGGTTACCCATAAAGACCAGCTTCAAACCCCGCCCATCATTTTTACCTGTGGATGTCATGCGCTTATTGGTACATTTCCAGGTTGCAGCTGGGAACAGTGTCGGTTTCGGAACTCATGTGCTGCAGTCTGCAACTTTCACATTTGGTAATTCTACATGCCGTACACAAAACTTTACGCATTCAAAAGGTATAATTTTTCTTTACTTCCAGCACCACCTCCACCACCAAATTGCCCAGGTATGTGCTATATTTTACCAGAGCCAATATTATGTCAGAGTTGAAGTTTGGTTTGGTCTGTTTTTATAGTGTGCCAGGCAAGAAGTGTTAGTCTAGTTCGCTATCCTACTGCACTAGCTCCAGCCAGTGGATCAGTGGCTGTCACTACACAGTGTGCTGACAATGCTCACATCAGAACTGGCTCTAGTCTGAGTGTCAGGTGTAGCTCTAGTGGTAGTTGGTCTGGAACAACTCCTCAGTGTGAATGTGATGCTGGATATCGTGCAGTCACTGTTAGTGGAAGGCAGATTTGTCAAAGTAAGCATTTAGTAGCTCCCATCTTTCAAATGACTTTACTCTCTTTCTTACAGGTGTTCCTCCAACTACATGCCCTGCTAGAAATGTTGGTCTAGTTCGCTATCCTACTACACTAGCTCCAGCCAGTGGATCAGTGACTGTCACTACACAGTGTGCTGACGATGCTCATGTCAGAACTGGCTCTAGTCTGAGTGTCAGGTGTGGCTCTAGTGGTAGCTGGACTGGTACAACTCCTCAGTGTGAATGTGATGCTAAATATCGTGCAGTCACTGTTAGTCGAAGGCAGATTTGTCAAAGTAAGAGACGCATAAGTTTACTCTAAGTCTGTTATTTTTATTTGTTAGATGGTCTTTTCTACTGAAACAGTTCCAGGTTGGTATTATACTTTTATACCACATTACTCTTACTATATGTTTTAACTTTTCCAGATCCACCTTCAATAGGTAAGAGTATGAGGTTACTAATTTGGCATATAGCTAGCTTTGTGTGTCATTTCAGGAGCTGTGAATGAGACTAAGGTGTTGGGTTGTGGGCTCATATCATGGAAACCTCCACCAGGCAATGAGGGATTAAAACTGAGTTATATTGTCAGGTTCTTTGACGGAGGCACATACGAAACTAGTGCTAGTGGCTACAGAAGAATACAGCGCAACATTGAGATAGGGAGACAGTGGACAAGAGTTAATAATATTCCTGATGGTAGAACTGTGTATGCTGATGTAAGTTGGCAATATTGTATATTGTAATCAGCTCTGTATGATAACACTACTTTCAGATCCGTGCAAGAGACACAAATGGTTGTGTTGGTCCTTTTTTAAAAAATTTGGTTGCCAGTAAGCATGATTGGGTTATGTTGCACAGTTTCAACCAAACATATTTTTGTACTATAGATTCCACTCTATGTGCTGACGGTAAGCATCTTTAATATAATATTTAATGTCAAACTTTCTGACTGACGTATTTAATTTATCCAGGCTGTCCTCCCCCTGTACCATGTCCTGGTATGTCTCTTGGTGACTGGTTCCAAAATGATCTTGATTTACTAAAACTCATTTCATCTGTTCAGATTGTGATGTGTGCCAGGCAAGAAGTGTTGGTCTAGTTCGCTATCCTACTACACTAGCTCCAGCCAGTGGATCAGTGACTGTCACTACACAGTGTGCTGACAATGCTGACGTCAGAACTGGCTTTAGTCTGAGTGTCAGGTGTAGCTCTAGTGGTAGCTGGACTGGTATAACTCCTCAGTGTGAATGTGATACTGGATATCGTGCAGTCACTGTCAGTGGGGGGGCAGATTTGTCAAAGTAAGCATATTTAGTAGCTACTATCTTTCAAATGACTTTAGCTACACTGTTTTCTACAGGTGTTACCCTAACTACTTGCCCTGCTAGAAGTGTTGGTCTAGTTCGCTATCCTACTACACCAGCTCCAGCCAGTGGATCAGTGGCTGTCACTACACAGTGTGCTGACAATGCTCACGTCAGAATTGGCTCTAGTCTTAGTGTCAGGTGTAGCTCTAGTGGTAGCTGGTCTGGTACAACTCCTCAGTGTGAATGTGATACTGGATATCGTGCAGTCTCTGTTAGTGGAAGGCAGATTTGTCAAAGTAAGCATTTAGTAGCAACCATCTTTCAAATGATTTACTCTGTTTTCTACAGGTGTTAATACATGCCCTGCTAGAAGTGTTGGTCTAGTTCGCTATCCTACTACACTAGCTCCAGCCAGTGGATCAGTGACTGCCACTACACAGTGTGCTGACAATGCTCACGTCAGAACTGCCTCTAGTCTGAGTGTCAGGTGTAGCTCTAGTGGTAGCTGGACTGGTACAACTCCTCAGTGTCAATGTGATACTGGATATCGTGCAGTCACTGTCAGTGGGAGGCAGATTTGTGAAACACAAAGTATGCATTTTACTTCCATTGGTCTTCCTGCTCTAACACTTTGTTCTTCAGATTTAAGATGTCCAGATTTGCAGAATCCTGCAAATGGCTCTGTTACTTACGATAGCCTAGATGTTGGTTCACAGGCAGTCTACATGTGCAGCCAGGGATTCAGACTAGTTGGAGGCGATGCTGTCAGAACCTGTGGGAGTGATGGGATATGGGGTGGACAGCCACCTCTCTGCTGTAGTGGTTTGTACTCTTCTGTGCTGCTCTTCTGTGCTGTATTGCACAATTTTTGTTTGTAGCTCCCCATGCTTTAAATAGTACAAATACATTCACTTAATGAGCTCCTTTGTTTCCTGTTATAAGTCCTACTTTCCTGTTTGCCACACCCTTCTGTAGCTTGAGAAAAGTAATAAGTTTGGTTGCTAGGTAGCCGGCAGCAAATACATGTTGCAGTGCGGATATTCTAAGCAAATTACATGTATATGCACCAGTGGCGAAGCCAGGGGGGCTGAGGGGGCTCGAACACCCCCCTTTGTGCGGCGTCAAGATAATTTAAAAAACGCGCGCGGATTGAGAAGGCATGGCACCGCGAGGCATCGCGATTCAGTGCGCGCACGCGCACTAAGGTATGCGAGCGCTCTCCATCGATCCCGGACATAATCGAGGAATTTGGAAGACGTCATCCCCGTCGTATGAAACTCTCTAATATTTAATTAATGAAAAGTCATTCTGTATTGAAAACTTCAGGGTTTATGTGTGTTTATAGTGTGTATGTTATTCAAGCTCCGGCCTGAGCACCTCCCTTTCAGAAATCCTAGCTACACCACTGTGCACATACAGGATTGTACATGCTGGTTGCCTAGGGATGCCCATTGGAGTTGCATTTGCTTGCTAGAACTTCATTGTCACATGAACACTCACACAGACGTATGTACTGTTGAACTGGTGGGTGATATTGGAGTGGATGGGACTTGAGCTACATTTGTGTTCCGTGGTGTTGGCTCTGGCATTACTGGATACACCTGCAAACTTGATGGAACAGTCCTACCAAACTGTATGTCACTAAGTAATAACAGTGTCTCAAGTATGTTATCAGAACCTTTCAGCTGATGGGCGCTTTTTACTACTAGGCTCACAAAGGTTGTCACCATAATTTTGTCAGGGTTCACAAACGTTGTCACCACTGTAGTATGGATAGTATTACACGGTCACATTGTGAACCCTGACTTCCGAAGTTGACTATGAAAAATCTGGCAATTGCTGAAATGGACCTTGTTTTCACAGATTATTAAGAGAGAATGTGGTAATCTTTAAAAACGATCATCGCATTTTTACTTGAGGCACTTTTTTACTGCTCGAACTGACAATTCATTTTTCAATGTGCATTGCATTTCTTGCCCAGGTTCCAGTCCTCTGACTGGTGTAAGTCTTGGAGTCCATCGCCTGAGAGTAGTTCCTAAAGGATGTCAGACCAAAAAGGAGCAACCTTCCGCTTTCAAGTTTGACATAATTATTGACTCTAGACATTGAGCCCTAAACATGTGAACTCTATAAAACTCGACACTGTCATTGTGCTGCCTCTGGAGGAGCTACAATAATGTAATTGTGTGTGTACGCAGTGCACACAAACATTTACTCTTAAGTCTTACAAAACTCTGAAAGAGCATGCACCCCTTAGTACTCAGTACACCTTGTGTGCTTTCACTGTGGTCAAGTTACTAGCCTGCTACGAAGCATTCACTAGGGCCGCCTACACTCTGCTTATAAGCGTGAGCGTGGATGCACACCAGTCAATCAAAGCTGATGGTAGCTAGTTCATTCTCCTGCTACGACTGCTACTGACGGACTAAGGATGAGCAGACGGTCCTTGATTTAAAAGCCGAATTTGCTCACCTAAAATCTACCCCGTTGGAGACTGGTCCAGAGGCTACTCACACTGCTGCAGATCAGATGGCTGAACATAGCTACACTTCTGCCACTTCAGCTGTGGGTGAGTCAAACCGCCGTGTGTCTCCTAGTTCCGTACAGTCGAGAGCTAGCGGGGGACATGCTGATAGGAAATTCAACATTATCCTGTATGGAGTAGATGAGTGGCACCCCTATCCAGAGCGCGCAGGCTGGAGTCAGACCTTGGCAATGTGGTGTCTGTTCTATCTTCACTCGACAGCTCAATACAATCCCAATCTATAAAGGATTGTTATAGGCTAGGCAAATTTCCCCCCAACTTATCACGTCCTATAGACCAACTCTTGTTAAGTTGTTCAGAGCCTCAGATGTGTCAAAGATATTGAGAAAGAAGTGCATGATTCCTGTCTCGGCCTCACTCCATAAAACAAGATGTGCCTCTTGCGCAAAGAATGGTAGAAGCTGTCTTGTTAAAAGAGAGGTGGAAACCTAGCCAGTCGTGCCCAGCAATGGCATAAGAATGAAAAATGGTCATCTCTATGTCAATGGGCAGTCACACAGCCATGTTGAAAACTCTAAGTTCATTGGTGCCCCTTCCCAGTTGGAGACGGATATCGAAGCAGTCAGCAGCTCTCAATGGATGCTGCCCTATATTATTATTATAATAGCAGACACAGCTCGGATGCTTGACCCAGAGTGCTGGAGGATCAGGGACCACCCAGAGTGCCAGGGACCACTCAAGCGAGGCAGACAGCGGCCAAAGAGGGCTGTACGACCCCCAGAACGATACATGTAGCTGCAGATCAAGTTCAAGGATGAACTTTCCACGAGGGGGGAGTATAGCGTAATAATTAACGTTTCATATCACTCTGTGTTCACCTCACCCCACCCACTATTGTATGAGCATGCGCATGCACATGAGATGAGAGCTTGTGAGCCACGCTAAAGGCAGAAACACTACAGATGTTGCTAAAGTTCAAGTGGGAACACATTCTCACTATATTCAGTTGAGCTCCTGACATTTTAATGTGCACACATGATGAAGAGCAAGTCACTCCAAGACTCTGTTGGCTAAAAAATGTTGGTTCTTTTTCACTTGTTCTGGTGATACACAACATCATTACTGTACATAGTATACAGAGAGCGAGCAAGAGAATAATAATAGTGAGAATTCCAAGATGACAGCTAGAGAATGTGTTGTGACAGCAGAGATATTATTATGAGAAAAAGAAGCAGAGAGACGGGTGGAGGGGATGTTGTTACACAGAGCAGATTTCATAGTTAGTAGCAAACATGTACAACTGCAGCAGGTGACATTGGACACGGGTGAGTGGTGGATCATGCCGCCACCACTGGACACGTGGCAGAGAGCAAGGTGACAGCTAGAGAAGAACAGCAGAAGAGCAGAAAAAGTGTCAGTCTTTAACACTTAACCAGCCGCGGACACATGAGTGTCCAAGTTCGTAAGCATTTATGTGGGGGTTATAATACTAGGCGCTAATAGTGATTTTCTGCTTATTGAAGGAGATACCTATCCAAAGTTTTCATGAACATGGCTAGAACTTGAGCTCACCACTAGAATATACGTCGTAAACAGTGGCCTTTTTGTCTCCAGACCCAGTGACTATGAACTTGTCATCTGCTGAAATGTCACAGCTCAACACTGAGCTGGTCTCACTCATCTGTTAACACAAAAGAGAGGTGTTGACATAGTACGGGCAAGCACTATTATAATAATTATGGTGTATACGTTCACGAAATGCTCAACCAAGGCCTCAAACAAAACCCCACTTTGAAACCTCACTAAACCCACCCAAACAGACTATACTGAGATAAAATATATGTGACTATAGAATGATGACCAAAGACGACAGGCTTGTCAACAAAATCCAGTAGCTGTCTGATTTAGCCAAACATGCTCGACGTCAACTTAATCCAGAATCGCTAGTTGGAAACTGCCACGTTGTCTAACTCTGAGCTACATAACATGTATGGTCACAATTAATGGATTTAGCCACACTGAAAATGATAAGTGACATTCTCATTAAAACGGCAGTTTTCAGCCAAAGTTTCTTTAACTGGCACTTTTCCTCACCTGAAATATGGAGGCACCATAGGGTGTTCTCCAAGAGTTCAGGAGATTGTCTTTGCCGGTGGTGACAAACCACTTTCCCGTGTGTGCAAACTTGAGGGAGAGGACGCAGGAGTCGTGGAGGTGGAGCTGATACTTCTCCTGGTTGTTGACGTGAAGCACTTCCACATTGCTGCTCTCCATCCTGCAATGGACACATATCTTTCTGAACCAGCACATACTGGTGTATTGTGCCTTAGAAAAAGTTTTGGCGAGCAAATCGAGCCCACCTAGTCGTCTGAATGCAGGAATTTTATTTTAATGGGGCACCGCATGTACCGTAAAGTGTTATTGTGATCATGAGTGAAAAATTGAACGCCATTCCAAACACGTGTGAAAAACTGAAATGCTTACCCTTGCTCACCAAAATGTGTGGCATTCGTTCCAGTATAATGATAGCCTTGCGCAATCCTATATACTAAGTACTACTGTACTTGGTGATAAGGTACGTATGCAAAACGAGTTTATAACTTACCCGACAGCCAACCAGTCTCCTGTGGGGCAGTATCCAAGAGAGAATATCTGGGAGTTGAAGTCATGTTGATGTAACTGACGACCCTGCAGAGAGAGATAGAAGATGGCTACAATTACTTAACTCATTGCGCGCGGCGGATCTATATAATAGATTCGTTACGCGGATGTTAGCCAACGCGATCGGCATATATATAGATGCGCAGGAACACTCACTACTCTCTTCGTCCTAGTTGCCGTCGCTACTCGCTGGCACAGCCTAGACCTTGCTACACCTTTGACCATTGAGTGGGCGCACAGTTTGCGCATGTACAAAATAAAAGGCGGGGCTGGTGTGCGCAGCAGCTGCCCCACCTTCCCCGCGTATAATACGCGTCTAAGAGCGATGAATGCAGATCTGCCATGGAAACGTGGCCTCCTTGCGGCTCTAAGATGACACTAGGCTTTCTAACACACGAAGAACGAATCTGGGCTTCGTCTGCGGGCCTACACCAAGTATAAACACGCAAACAAAACGGCACGCGCGAACTCCAAAAAACCACGCGGACGCGGTAATTCCACGCATGCGCATTAACGCGCGCAATGAGTTAACTCTGTGCCCCGAAATGTTCATCATTGCATGTAAGCAAATTCTAAATAACAACATGCTATAATTACTAGGAAACATACAACAGAAGCAGGAACACACTAAAAAGGTATTACATGTATAGGATTAGAAAATCTCTCCCAGTCTTCCAGCTCACCTCTCGAAGGTCCCAGCAGCGGACGGTGTTGTCGAGGCTGCCGGTCCACAGTTTGGATCCGTCGGGGGAGATGTCGATGCAACTGGCTCCGTCGGTGTGGCCCTGTAGCTGGTTGACCAGCTGCTGGTTCTGGAGGTCCCACACTGCTATGGTCCCATCACTGCAGCAGCTGAAACACGACTGCAGGAAGAGAACAGCTAGGTGAATGAGAGCTGTCTGTATGATATGAGACACAGAGAGATTGTGTGAAGACAGTAACATGGTTCTGTTCACAGCCTTCGATTACAAAAGATTGCGTAACATCAGCTCAGATGCCTGAAAAATATCGGGACATCTCAAATACTGAGACTGCTGACTAAGCACAATGAAAAGGCCTGTCGTAATATTGAGCCATTAAACAGTGGAAATAAGAGGTATGGGAAGAAAGGAGCAGGATGCATATAATATAGTGCAAAAAAGATGTAGTGGAAATGGGATGAGGATGAATGGAGTGCCGGGAAGACGAATAAAACATTTGGAGATTAGTACCAAGAGAAAGACAGTAGCTATGTGGTGTTTTATTGCTGCACCTTTCCATCACTACTGACTGCGAGAGCATAGCAGGCTGTGGCACTGGATGGAAGTCGAGCCTTGATCTGAGGTGCTGATGACTGTGGAGGAAAAATGTGAGGATCCACTAATTACAAAAAATACACGTGGCATCAAACCACAAGCAACTGAAACAAAGGACTGAAATGGCAATAGGGGAAAGTTTTAAAGAACGGTTTCTTACATTTAACAGATACATAATAGAATGGTTTCTCTCTTATATGGACACTTTCTTAGCAGGACTGCGGATACACGTGACATTGATTGGCCATTTTGCAATCCGATTGGAGATCTCGTTTTCGAGATCCAGGACCAAGAAATGTGTCAATAGTTACTAGACCCCTTTTCCACGTGATGAATGGGTGGGGTCTGGGCACGAGACTACAGTGTATAGAGGTATAAAGGGCTCACAGCGGCAAGGTCCCACATGTGGAGGGTGTTGGTCTCTCCACCCACAATGAGGGTCCGACCATCAGGCAGCAGCTTGCAGGAGCGGATGTAGTTGTCTCCGAGACACTCGAGACAGTGAAGGGGAGTCTTCATCAGCCCCGACCCATGGTTCAGGTCCCACACCTTCACACAACCCTGCCAAGACAAACAGTATATCTGAATGCATGCTTTGGGGCATCAGTCAAACGTGATTTTTTGTGAGTGGAAGTGCTACAAATCCCTCGATCAGTGTAATGAGAACGTATTATCCAGAGCTACATATAGTACTATAGCAGAGACTATGCAATTTTCAATGACAATGTGAATTGGAAAAGATTGCTCCTTCACGTAATATTCGATCCCATTCGCATTCACTTTGAAGGGTAGCACCATTTTTTGTCAGAGAACATAGGACCAATTAAAGTTGCCATGGGTATAATTGTGTAGCTACTTAATAGGCAATTTGTCTTGTGTTGACAACCCGCTCAGTATTCATGCATCACAACACAGCAATGAGAGGAATATAATGATTCAGTAGCAGTCAATATCGTCGCACAGCCTAAGCCAATAAAGTTTTGCACAGTTCGTAAACAACGAAATCTTCCTCAAGTTGTATAATCATTGATGCATTACTGAAGGAATGCAACTCATTGTTGGCAAGCGATAGCGAGCAGTTCAATATTTCGCGTGTGTTTTTAGAATCACGTAGAACGGTAGTGACAGCACCCGACCAATAATTATAAACAAATATTATATAAAAAAGAAACGACCAGGTAAGGCTCACTTTGCCTGCTAATAACCAAATGAAGGAGGGCCTACGTACCTTGCCTCCGGTGTAGATGTGTCTGACGGGGTTACTGATGGCGACTGCACAGACCACCTCATTGTGGAGGAGGGTGTAGAGGGTTCGTATGGAGCGAGGCAGACCCGGGGCCACTGCCGCGTCTGCCGCTATCGGCACCGGCTGGACCCCTCCCTCCTTTGTGATCAGGAAGGAATAGGGCCTGTGGTGGAGGTACATGACGTGCACACGTATTCTACTGACAAATGCTAGCCACCTACACTAGATTTGCAAGTACGTACAAAAGGCATTCAGTTTATTTTTACGCTACAGAGTTGAAGTAAACTGCCAACTCACTGTTTACTGACTCCTGAGTGTGGTCGCTGCAGACCTTCAGGGAAATGAGGAGCAACCTGAGCAGGAGAGAGAGAGGAGACTATGACATCTGCACAGCAAGTCTTCAATCTAAATCTTACCAGTGCAGGTCTGCCATTAGGTAGATGACCTGCAATCAAGAACACATGTAATAATCCCAAACTAAACAGAAAAATTGAAAGGAGCGAATGTGACTATCAGTATAACTATAATTAAACTTCTGGGGTTCCATCTCACCAGGGATGGCAGGGACATGGATCTTGGAGGTGGGGGGAAAGGGAAGAGCGATGTCGACCGGGGGGAAGTGGGTGGGGGTGGGGAGGAAGGGAGGGGGGAAGGGGCCAGGGAGGGAGGTGGTGCATGGTCGAACGCCGGGGTGAAGAGTAGTAGCTGCATGAGGGGAATGGTAAATACATGCACACGAGAGTAGACTATTTGTAAATAGTAAGAAGCTGGGGAAAGACTCTAAGTCTTACATTTTTTATAGGTACTCCAGCACACACACACATGTAAAAAATGGGGTTGTCCTTTGTAGAGGGGTTGTCCCTATCTCTGAGGGTCCCTTATCCGAGGTTCCTCATAGTTATATAATACATGTGTTCTGTATGTATAATTATTACTTAGTCCTCCTCGGGGTGGATCGGGGGTTATAAATACTGAACATACGCAGTTGGATTTGCCGGACGAGGGCGGCAGGTGGGTGAGGCTGAATGGTGGAGGGAAGAGGGGGAGGAGGGGAGTGGGAGCTGGTGCCGTTGCTCTGGGACGGTCCCACGGAGTTGGGGCGGGGGGTGGAGGTGTGTCGAGGACCACCACCAGGGACAACGGCGGTCCGGTCACTCTTGGTTGAGCTGGGAGTAGACGGCCGTTCTCTCTTTACCTGCCGTCAAACAGACAATGGGCAACACATTTTGACAGCGTTCAATAAAAATGCTGTATTCAGAAGACTAGGAAGGCTCAATTCACTCGCCAACTATTACAATCAAGCCTGTATAAATGAAAAGCACTAAAGTGCAAACCCTTTGCAAACTGCGCATGCACGATACTGCTAATTGATGGGCTGGGCTGGGCTATTTGTGTGCGTTTACTCGTGGTCTCCCACTAGTAGCTCGTGAAGAGTCTGACACTGGCTAGCTACAGTAGTTGATAGAATGTGGGAGTCGATATATACATGCCATTCGTTGTGACTTCCTGAGCCCCCAAGGTACACAGAGCGAGCGGATCAGGTCGCGGTAAGCCCAGTGCGATATGCATATTTGCTTTTTCACTTGTTTTCACGGCATATCTCTCGAACGCAGTCGTTTCAGGAAAATCGCCCTTTTATTTTTTAGCCTCGCGTAGTTCTGAATCCGCTGGTATCGCTAATTAGCCGCCTCGTAGCCTGTAGTGGCAGAATAAGCGTTAACACACACACACACACACACACACACACACACAGACAGACAAACCAACTACTGTAACCCTCGCTGCGCATGCGCACCGAGGTATGTGTGTGTTACTAAACGCACGAACACAATCTCTACAGGATGTCTATGATTACAGGGCGACACACTCCAACACGTAGTGACTACATATACTGTACCTGTCTGTCATAGGAGGAGGTGCTCCCGTCAGGTGAGGGGTCATCCACCACAAGTTCTCCCTCTCCCTCACTCTTCTCCCCATCACTGTCTCCTCCCTCTGGCCGCTTCCTCTTGTGGACATTCCCACGTGGCGAGCTCAACTGAGGAGAGAACAGACACAATGACTACCAACACTATATAGTGCACACGTCATGCCATTAACCCTCGGCGCGCATGCGCAGCGAGGGTTACAGTAGTTGGGTCTGTCCGTGTGTGTGTCTGTTACTCTACATCTCACCTCTTGAATGTCTGTTCGTCCCAGAAATGATACCATCTACCAAACGGGCGACGGAGGTCAGAAAATATGTGGGGTTTTCTCTGAAATGCTCCGTTGCAGAGCGCTTCCAGCATTGTATGGCTAATGCCGGTAGTCGCCATTTTATCGCTGGCGGATAATGCGCATGCGCTTATATTTAGAACAGGCTTATATACCTCGACCGGGTCCGCTTGCTCTGTCTATCTTGAAGGCACAAGAAATCACGAATGGCGTGTATCGACTCTCGCGTGCTATCCACTACTGTAGCTAGCCCGTGTCAGACTCTCTGCGAGCTATTTCGCCGAGGGTTTGCACTTTAGTGCTTTTCATTTAAGATATAAAGGCAATGCACTGTTAGTGGTGAGCACATGTGAATAGATGTGTAACATACACGCATGTACAAAAAGGCACAACTAAGTGATGCATAGGATGGCATGTGGTACAGCGACCTCGGTTATCGCTCGTGCAAAGGCAGCCTATGACAATGCTAAACACACACGCTAATTCTGTATCACATGCACCTATACGATGCTCAAAACCTGATCTTGGTAAGCCGGTCATCATGACTTGTTCTCTTTTGCCTTATGTGCCATAAATTTTGCCATACAGACACAAACACGACCCGACGGTGCGCCAAGGGTTCAGCATGAGTAAGAAGTTGATTACAGGGCAACGGGATTTAATTTGGCATACAGCGCATATGCAGGTTGACAATGGCATAACTGCTGCCTTTTGTATATGGGATAGTTACAGACTGTGCAGATTGCAGAGCTCAAAGTCAAAACTTATCCATACTCACCTTCTCGTCTGCTTCATCTGATGTTCGGTCAGGTTTACTGGAGCTGTGGCGAGGGTGGGCGGAGCTCGGGGCAGAGGAGGAGGAGCTAGGAGCAGCCGCAGGGGAGGGGATGGGGATGGGGGCCGGGTAGGAGGCCATTATCTGAGGAGGAGGGGGAATCCCTCCCTGGGGCAGGAAGGGTGGAGGTATCCCCGCTACCCCGACAGCTGCATTGAAGTGCTGTTGGTTGAACTGAGGAAGGGGGGAGGTGGGGAGGACGAATTACTGATTGCACATGGAAAGGCTGAACACGGAAACAAAACTGCAAGAGTTTGGTGTCCACCACTGCATTTGAGTGCTGCTATACCCAAACATCTCACCATCATTAGATAAAAGTGCCTTATGAAAACCTTTCTGGTACACATGTACAATGTCATACATGTTGTGTACGTGTAGCAATACCAAATGAGGCAACAGCATGCATGGACATACTACACTATACAGCATGCATGGACATACTACACTATACATCCATGGACATACTACACTATACAGCATCCATGGACATACTACACTATACACCCAAGATGGATTCAAAACTGCAGCTACACACAGAGTGAAGGAGGTGGGCTATATGTATGTATTTGTGACCACAATGTAAGTCCATACTTACTCCAATGATGGCATTGAGTTCACTGGTAGTGACCTGTTTGGCTCTCTCAACGGCAGCAGCGACTTGCTGTTGGTGCTGAGCATGGAGGAGAGGAGTTAGGAAATGAAATAATATGGGAGGGAGAGGAGGGAGGGAGCAAGTTGTAGAAAGGTATGAAGGTATTAACCTCTTGGGAGAGAAATGGAATAACTTGAGCACAGATGGCATTCAGCCTTTTAGCAATCTCGGTCTAGTTCCAAAAAAGAAAAATTCTTGATGAAAACAACGAGCAACATATTATGTACTTACGTACCTGTTTATGCATTTCGACATTGAGTCCATACGACATCTCATAGTACTGCAGTGTTTGAGAGAAAACAGCAATAATTTTCACTCAAAATAATTGTACACAATATTTACCATGATGTAGTGACGGTGGATTTCATTCTTCTCATTATTGCCTTTCTCCAGTTCTCTTTTGATACTGCATGCATGAATGTGTAGAGAGACGATGAGATATCACAAGTATGATTTTGTAAATATAGGGATATTGATGGTGGGGACTTTGTATGTTGGATTCTCTAGCTAGTAGGGGTGCCACCTTTCGTGAAACACAGGATACCACTTGTGGAGTAACATAATCCCCAACACAAAGGAAATACGATATGACAGCACTTCCTTCCCATCAGTTCTCTCCAGACCCACTGTGCTCGGAAACATAAAAGGCGCACGCAGTTTACTCATATTCTATGTAATGAATTGCCTTTGCAAACCGGTATATAAATATAACATTACACTCGTCATACCAACAATTCCTATGGTAGACGAAGGTGTAGTATAATTAGCGCACAGTATTTATGCATGACAAGGTGTGTTTTAGCAACCAGCATCACCAATGAGGCAAGACTGGGCAAATAGTTGTGGTAATGATTACATTGCCAAACAGGGAAACTCTCAATAAACGATGTGGAATTCCTAGCATGACCAGAGTGTGTTTGGCTAGCTCACACACACTCTGTACAATGAGATTACCAGCACACTACACGGGAATGTGAATAGGTTTATACAAGTCATGTTCATGGTTTACACAACCATGTGTGTGTGTGGTGTGGAGTGTGTGTAGCTAGAGAACTGTGCGCTGTGCTCCCTAGGGAAGAGAGCTGTAGTAACAACCCTGATGAATTTCTAAGTTGCGGAGGGTGGTTGATCCACATACAGTACATGTACTATGAGTAGAAAAGGCAAAGGCACAACAAACAAATCTAGGACAGCTCTTTTTCCAAGGAAACCCACCACACTGCACGACACACTGCAGTCTAGGTGAGCGCTCTACCAACCGAGCTACCAGGGCACCTCAGCTGATAGGGGTTCAAATCTTCAACACAACACAAGGCAAACCCAATCCACTGTACTATGGCACAACCCCCAACTGGCAAGAGAAGTGAGCCAATACTTTCAAAACCACAGATAATAAATAGGCATATTAATTCTATGCAAGCAGGCCAACTATTTTAGCTTATAATCCGACTTGCAATTATGTTGTATCCATTATCAGACGAGCAATTATGTTCTTGTCAGTAATCAGGTTTGCAGTTACGTACATGGTATGTATGGCAACAGTTCCCTCGTCAAAATCACAGCAAGACACTAGTTCACTGTAAAACCTCGTAACATGGACCACCGCACTAAGTAGTAGAGGAGCGAAGTGTATCAATAGTGTGACGTGACTTCTGCACAGAAACATACAAATGAATTTGTGCTTACTTAAATTATAGAATTGATGGATGTGTGGAACTTCCTTCAATGAAGGCTACCTAATTTATGTACATTGTCCAAAGAGGTTCATATAAGGACCATAATAGAGGAGGAGCTACCAGACAAAGGGACCAGCAGAAGATGCCAGTAGAACAAAACAGCTTAGAGCTTGGAGGTTCTAATGTTAGTCTGGCCTCTGGTGATGATGTGTCACATGATTTTTCCTCGTCATTGTGCACATGCAAATCACATCATATAACTTGGCAGTATTGTGTATAGTAACACAAATGACAGCAGGACATATCAAATTCCACAGGAATGTGGAGGGGAATGAGAATGAGCTGAAACTGATACACTCACAATAGAACAAGGGTACACAGTGTGTGAGTGGAGAATTCTCCAAATTCCAGGCCCCAGCAAAAATATACACAAACTATAATATAGTTTATGTATATTTTTGCTGGTTATGTCCAAATTCTGAAACTAATAAAAGAGAGTTCCATTTTCCTTGTGTTTGGAAGACTCTTGGGAAAATCCAGGCGAGTTAGAGGGTGTCGGTCTCTTGTGAGCTCAAACCTCCAAAGCTTTTTCTTCGCATTTCGTTCAAGAAAGTCATTGTCACGGAGAGCTTTTGAGTGTACATACATACATAGACACACATAGCCATGGCCCAAGCATAATGTTGCCAACCGTGTTTGTCGTTTTTTGTCCTGCAATCACGTTGTTTACCAACACACTCTTTTGATGTAAATATTGCTGGAAGGAGAGGACCAATTGCTCTGTAACAGGGAGCACTGCTGGCAGTACTCATTTATGGGCTGTACTTCCATGTTGAGCCTTCATTAAGACTCAACACCACTTGATCATTGAATTAGTAAATCCACCCTATTCTTCAAAGATACACACAATCATTATGCTCGATTCAATATAGACTGGCCTATACACGATTGCGGCTATTGAGTTGGTAAAAGTAGTGCACTCTAGAGGACGCCTTAGAAACATGAACCCTAATGTGCCTCATGTCATGAAGTAGAAACTGAGAGTGGAAAGGTGCGTGCTTTGAGGTATTTCCATTGCTGCGTAAGTGGGCGAAATGAGTCATTAGTACTCTTTTGGGGATTACAAGGCAGTGTGTATAGTAGCACTTGTTACATTACACCTCACTTTCAGAGAGGTAAAGTTTCAGTGGACGGCCAAAAACAGAACAAGGTGGAGCAGTGTGACATGCACACAACCCAAACAGAGTACCACACTGTGAATTGTGAGCCCCTCACTATGGCTTTCACATTCCTTACTTACATATATATATACAATTTCAGTGTTAAACATTCAGCTGGCTACAATTGCTCTAGCACTATATGTGGATGGTCCGTATATTTCAAAGTGCCCAACTTTCACAAATCTGGGCATTCAGGATTGCTGCAACAGTCTCCACCAATAGCAAACACTGTTTCAGAAACTTGAATACAGGGCAGTGAATGGTTGTTTTCATAACCAACCCCAAAAGGGAGAGGATTGGTACTGACTGACTTTGTAAACTGTGGGCTGTTATCTTACCAGAGGCAGAACAAACAAAGTTGGAAAAGTGCAAACCACATAGTTTTCACTATTGTACACACACCTACCAACAGTGCATACCACAGGTGTAGGGTATGTACAAACAGACAGCCACAGTTTCGCAAACAGTCAAATGTTCAGGGATAAATTACAGCTTTTCATGACACTCTGTATTGAAAACAGCAAATGTCTGTGGATAAATTACAGCCTTTCATGATGTAAACATGGCACTCTAAAGATGCATAGAAAGATATACAAAAACACGTTTAGGTTTTGAATACTCAAAACATGCTTGTCGAGCTCTCTGTTATACACTAGGTTATACATGCTGCATATGGACAAGAGTAATTAATGGAGTAATCTGTGCATATGGTCAAACACATGCCGTCAAGTGCAAGAACTTGGCAGGCAAGCCACCAGCCAACAGTGTCCTGTTTCAAACCATGCATTATCCCGTAATTGCATCCCTAGCAACACAGTACATTTGATACATGCATAAGAGCTACACCGACACACAAACAGGCAGATTGAGAAGTACTCAAAACATTATTCACCGTATTACTCTCGGACCAACATGCTCTGTGCATTTGAGCCCAGGCCAATTGATAGCTTTATGTACGCAATAGGGCGATTAACAAAGGAACCTGGGGGGCTAATAGCCTCTATTGTGTACGCAACCATCTGTCTCTCTAGGGAAAACTGGTATTTAGTCCTGGGCTCCACCTGGAACAAACATAATTATCCCAGTGACTATTGCTGGATTCTTACTGCCACTGCCTCCAGTCTACCCACAGGCCAGCAGGAAGATATCAGTTGTGTGTATGGCCTACAGTATTGTACATAATATAACCATGTTTGGGGTGGTGCAAACTCCATTTTAATGTCTTCCTTAGACACAAATTTCACGTAGTCATCAGAACTGAAGGATTCTTTACCAGTGAAGCAAACCTGCCTAGTTGTCTGAATGCCAGATTTTCCATCTACTGTAACCACCAATCAACCCAACCGCCATAGTATAATTTCAAAAACTGCTCGCTTCGCCCACCGAAAATTCATTCTAGATTGGCCTGTGTTGCCACTCACTGGTGCATTGGGCAGGTCCCATCACCCCAAGTTGTTGCCATTGGTGCTATTAGCACCCAATTTAGGCACAAGCCACTAATTTGGAAATGGTGTTGAAGGTGATAATAGCCTGAGAGCTAAGTGGTTTTCCTGGAAGAGGCACTCCTGGCCCAGGTAGGTATGAATGGAGGAGCCAGTGACCCATACTCAGTCATCAATGGCCCAGTGAATGGAGCCATAAAATAGTACCATTGCTACATCTGTTCTATATAATATCCCCAGCTGAATTTCTGTGAGTGGACTGATCTTGTGCTGCCTCTACTAGTGAGGCACCAGCAGAATATTGGTAAGGGCCATTAGAAAATGCATTGTATATGTGACTGTGCTCAGTGTGGGCATGATACAGATATGGAGTATCATGAATGAGAAACTGACCCAGATGCTGGGTTGAGCTCTCTTGTCTCTGCTAAATGGTTGACATCACTAAGCTTTAAGATTACTTGCTTCATACTGGGCGGTTGCTTAGTAACGGTAAACAAATGTCAACATACACACTAACTGGTTGTTTACTGATGTCAACCACCAAGGACAAGTTGTACACACTGACAAGATTCATCTCCATCACCAGGGAGCACACAGACACAGGGTGTACCAACATGTTGTCTGGTCTCCCATTTGTGGTTCAGCTATATAACACACACACTTACCTACACACTGCCTGAAACCCAAGGACAGCCACCAGAGCTCCCAAGTTTGCACAACAGCATCCTTACAGTGTATATACCTGCACCTGTTTCCCCTGCATGGCTCCCACAATATGCCCTGATTTCAATCAAAATCGCTCCATGAGCTGATTAATGTGACAGCCACTACACAAGTAGGCTCTCTAGTCCACAGATCAAACTCTGATTCAAGTCACAGAGTGAGACCAGATAGTATCAAGTTGCAATCACCTAAAAACTAATTGTTGGGGAAATTTTCTCCCAGCATAAGACAGTAGAGTATAGTATGAGGGACAGGAAAACATGTCTTCCCTCTGACAACAATAACCACAGAGTGAAGTTGGAATGAGCAAAGCAAACAAGAATTAGCTGTATCAATGAAAAGTTAGCACAAGACCTCATTCCAGATATTTCTGACAAGGCCCAATAATGACTATAATTAGAAGATGCATTCCTGGCATAGATGGAGGTAAAGATAGAGTGGGCTTTTCACCTCCTCCCCACACAAAATCAAAATCCACTCCACATAGTTTGCAGTAGTACAAAGGCAGTGGCTAGCCAAGCCCTAGCCAAGTGTATGCAGTATGCACAAGATACCAACCCACACTATACTAGCAGTAAGGCCTCCCCAACCTTTCATGTGTAGTAATTGCTGTTTCCTTTTCACTCATAAAGAGTGCCATATTAATAAAAAATTTGATAGCTAGGAAGATCAGAGAAGAGATCTTTAAGTAAGAAATGATTTTCTAGTTCTAGTCATTTCCACGCTAATAACAGCTGGGGAGGTAATGAAGAAGTGTGTTTTGCCATGTCTTTCGAGCTTGGTACAACAGTAGTATATATCAATATGAAGAGAGAGAGAGAGAGAGAGTCTAGAAAGAGCTGAAAACTCTCCAAACATATTCATCAGTGTAGGCCTCTATATTGGAATTTGCATCATCTCTATTATGCAACTGCGGTTGGAGGGAATTCATGGGGAGCTACACTGTCTGGGGGTGGGCTGAATGCCATGCATCTCAACCCAGCAGCAGTACAACTATAATGTGCTGTGAGAGACAAAAACATGAGACTGAGCCACCAGCAGATTCATTGACTCTCTGCAAAAGCTATCTGCATAGTTCACACAAAGGCTGCACAAACATGGTGGCAGGGCACCTCAGCCCCATGTGGCCATGGCTTGTTACCAAAGCGAGTGTGTCCAATTGACCAGTGCAGCAGTGTAAGCTGGGAAAGGTCCAGTAGCGGGTGGAGCCTGTGTCAACTGTTGATACAGCAGACAAAGGAAAGCCACATTCCCAATACTCACCTCTCCAGGCCAACTCCAATAAGCCCTGTGCTATGTGGACTAAACCCAACCACAACTATACTCCATGCAGCCCCTGCTGCTATATCTAGTAGCACACATGGACTGTACTGTACAAGACAAGATTCCTACTATCTACCATTCACTTGGAAGTGAAGGAGACACACAACCTCATCTGAGCCAAAACAAAAGCTGTTCTTTTGACAACTCAGACAAAAACCTCTCTGAGGTGAAGGGGCTGGAGCCACAAATTATCATGTCAGCAAGTTTTTGCCACCTATCAATGTACTTCCTACACCCACACTGTTTCTAACACAACCCACAAAGGTGCTAACATCATCAGCAAACCATTCAACACCCTGTGAGCACTGCTCCCAACTCACAATAAAAGCCACATAAAAACAGCCACTGCCTACTCCTCACTCTCCTAGGCCACACCACCTAGGGGGTTCAGGATACCACCACTGTAAATGGCACAAAGTAATGAATATCTTTGCCTGTATTCACTGTCTAATTGAGTGCTGACACTCATAACCCAACCTTCCCTATGCAAGCTATTCACAGACTATGAATATGCTCCCACATTCATCACAACCTCTAATAGGCCTCCAAGTCTACAATAGACTGGGCCCAGGTCAGTAATAGTCCCACCCACAATACTGCACCACAGTAACATCAACTCCATAGCTCCCCTGAAAAACATTTTGGGAGGTGAGAGTAAAGTAACTTGTGAATTTGAGAGAAAACTACATTGTGAAGCAGCCATCCTTGGCAAAGTGTAACATGGCCAGATTGGGTTACAGAGTAGACAAGTATATGCATATTACACAACTTGTTAAAACAGCCCTGTTTTGGCACACCGGGTTTTTCAGGAACTACTAATAAGTTGCTCAATCACTCATAATTGGTTAGTCCTCACTACAAAAACACTTCCAATTATACCAATTTGGTATTTCCCCTTAGACCCACACCTATTCCCAGTGTAGCTATGGACACAAGGGCCCCAGGGCCCAAGGACAGAGAGAAAGGAAGCCAGCTCCTCCACCACTAACCTCCCATTGAGTAAGCCCTGTTCACCAGTATGGCATAGGCAAGAATCTGAATGACATTGTCAGTGTGGCTTTATGCATACCAGTGCTAGACCACAAGGGACACTGCCCCACTAGGAATCATGCTTACAATCTCAGAGTGATAACTGTGGTGAGGTCTGGTTGATACAGGATCAGCCACACCACACTGTTTATCAATAGAGGGCACAGGGCAGACACACTAGCCTTCTCCCCCTATGTCCTCTGAGCATGCATACAAGTCATGCCTACCTCTGTGTTTGGCAACATGTGTCCTGAAAATAGCTGACCGAAGCAAGATATGACATGTGCCCATGTGTTGAAAAAGTACTACATTTAAAGGCAGCGGGTAATGGAAGATTAATGCTCACATGATTTACATGTGAGATAAACTTAGACAATGACATCAGAACAACTCAGTAACGGTATGCCGGAATGAGTCACACACTGAATGGAGAAGAGTTGTATATAGTAAGACCTTGTAACCCTTCTCTTGCAGTTCCACTCAATGTCTACCTTGCACTAGAGAACACCACGCTCCATTGTGAGTGGAAAATGCAAACATGGTCATCACTCACACAGATACCACAGTCTATACCGTGCCAACAAAAGCAAAACTAGACGACCTGACACAGTTTTATGTACAATATTCACTGAAATGAAAAAGTTACATATTACTGGATCAGGACTACACGATTGAACGAATGTTGCCAACACACTTCGAACAAGTGCAGTGGCAGGTCAATAGTAGCCCATTCACTAGGGCAGGGTAAGCACACAACCTACGTTCACACTACATTAGCATGTGTTCCTACAAATTGATGACTTAGCGCACAATGTGCTGTTTATAACACCCCACCATTGACTGACAAAGGTACCACGAGTGGGTCTGAATGATTGCAGAAAAGCTACAGGGAAATAGAGTAAGTGAATAAAGCCAAATTCCAAAATTACATAAATTCACACAGCGTGGCCACTCCCAATTGGCTATTTGCCAATGCAAACAAACACTGCATAAGGTGTGTATACACATACACCCAAAGTCCAACTACAAAACACACCAACTGAACAACAGAAACTCAGAACCACAACTCACGTCTGGTTTTGATTCTGGAGGTGGCTAAACTCCTCTTTGATGCGGTCAATGCTCTCGTGGACAGAGAACTTGAAGGCTGCCGGCTGGCTGGAGTTCTGGGACACAGGAGTGGGAGGAACGGGCCCCTGGGCCGGGCCGGGCTGTATTGAGAGGGGAAGGAGATGAAGCGATCAAGGTGGCGGGCGCTTATAGGAAGCTTCCGCACGCGTGCAAACACACAGAGGGAGCTGCATGCTATGTAAACACATGGTTCAATTACAGTGTTCGGGTCCCAGAACGACTGGTAGGGAGCTGTACGCGTCGACATCGGCATTAGAGAGGGAGTTTTGATCTGCCCAAGATCGCTTTTCGTAGCATGCAATCCCAACAAACACGGCGTCGATGCTCCAGTGCGCGAACAGAACCGATGTTTATGTAAACTGTGTCTTACCACCATATCGCTACAAGCCGAAAAGGGCAAAGCCTGCATGGCGGCGAATGGCGGACGCGACTGCTTCTTTCTCGACGCAGGTCTGGACAATCAGTGAACTGGCAGGTCCGAAAATGCGCGACACTATAAACTATGTGGTTAACACTCACTCTACCCGCTGGCAGGTTACTTATCTATAGCGTCACTTTAGGATCGATAGCTAGTCCATTCTGTCATAGGATTTTATGCATGCCTTTCTTGTAGTACTTACGTGAAACATGTTGCAGTGCCTGAAACCTCCAATCGCGTCTCAATAGGGCCTATTCTGCCTTTCAGCTCGAGGACAGGTGCTTGTACTTGTATCTCCTATTCACCAGCAACTCCACACAGCATGCAGTTACTAATATATCCTTGCTTCTTTGCACCTACAGGCAGACATTTGGCGCGTGCAATCAGGCGCATGGGGCTTGAACGCCGTCCCAATACGGCTGCATATTCACGCGGAAGTACGCAAACCCACAAAAAGGGGCAAAACGTGTATAAAGAAAGACCTCGATTATTGCGTTTATTACGGATATTCATCTGTCTCGCCCGCTTGTAAATGAGCACAACCAAATTCCTGGCAAATTCCCTCACCTGCAGTCAGGTGACCACGTGCAAGCTGCTCCTACCGTATTCTTGCTTGCACTTTCTTGTTTAGCGAAGTACGGTTTTAGAAAAATCGCACTGGGTCTTCCCTCCTCTCGATCGAGTTGCCCTTTCCTAATCTATGGCCGCATTCTAGGGGGACTGGGGATGGCTGCAGTTATGCTGAGGGGTATTCGCCTGCAACCCCTGGCTCGCAGCCCAGGATGGCGGGGAATCACGCCTGGAGTGCGGGGATACCGCCCCAAGAAGCATCCACGGCTCCAGACTCGCCTTCCTGTGACTCCATCACTTGTCTACTCGACCTCTTCACCGAGGAAGGGCTTTGGAGTAGTAGGTCGATTTCTGAGGAGGCAGATTTACCTTGTCCTTCTGCTTGGAGGTGTATCTACTGGAGCACTGCTGCTAGTGAGTTGCATTAGCTGTTCCTCTTCCTAATTCTCTTTCTTTTTTCGTGTGAAGGCGTGAACAGTTAATTGAATGTATGACAAAAAAATATCTGTGTATCGGGCCCAAAAAACTCAGCTTTCAACATCAGAGTTTAGATATTGGACGGTATGTTCAAGTATTGGACAGCAGTTCTACCAATTGATGTGTGCACTCCAATCGACATATGTACTGCACTGCCTCCTGGTTTTGCACATTGCCATTTGCTTTCACAGGAACCGTTGTGATTCTTGTGTGCATCATTTTGGCTGGGTGCAATAATCACCTGTTGCTGTCTGTAGGTGTATGTAGGTATGAGACGAGAGGTGGAGCGTCTGTCTTGGCTTGATAACTACCTCCCATCCAGCATTGGAGGAAAGGTAGCAAATGGTGAGGATTCAGTGACAGCCCTCTAGCTAGTCGTAATCATGGTGTATATTGTTGGACAAGTCAATGGAATCACTGCTGAGTCCATGTACACATGCTTGCATGAAGTGAGAGCTTATGAATGGAAGTCTAGATGATGGTTGTAATTAATCTGCAATGCTATGTCCCTGACAAGGTAAATGGGTGATGTTCTGTGTGTTTGATCCAGGGCTGGACTCTCTCTCTGGGTGGCTGAAATCAAAACCAACCCCACCCAGTGACTCCTCCTCCTCCTCATCATCGTCAGCCAAGACGTCAGGTGTGGCAGCAGGAGGAGTGTCTGAGACAAGGGACAGACTCCTCCACAGTGAGATACGAGAGCTGACGTCCAAACTGGCTCAGGTGGAGAAGGAGAACCATGAGTTGATGCAGCTACTCAGGGCATCCGGAGATGATGCCCGTGCTGCTCTCCTCACTAGACAGGTACGTATGTATATTGAAATTGTGGGGTACATGAATTTTTGATACTACCAATTAAGTACCAAAGACGCTCAACTCTAAAGTATAGGTATACATGTGTAATGCTATAGTTCTGCACCCACACTCCCTGATGTGTGCATGTGTGCTCTCAGAAATCTCTGATTGAGATGTACACTGACATTCTGAATCTGCTCACTGACTTTGATGCCAAGCTGAATCGAAAGGATGGCAAGTTTGTCAACACCCTCCCTCAGGTATGTACATACGTGTAGAAAGCTGTTATTCAACGGTAAAAGCCAGAAGAATCTTCAGGTATAACCGACAAGTACTGGGAGGGTGGTACCATAAAGGAAATGTACGGTTATGCTCCAGATCGTAACCATGCCAAAGTTTAAAAGCTTGAAAAAGAGTTCCTGCCCGTTGCCCGCTGAGTGCACCACATGTGGTATTAACTGTGATGTGGGACAGTGTGTGTTTGGCGTAACTGCAAACAAATATAGTAGAAAACGAGATGGTTTAATGTGTATGCAGTGTGTGAAGGTTCTTGTTGAGGGTGTGCTGTAATAATTTGTCTAAGAAGATAATAATGTGTACCAACCAAAATGTAAAATGCCTGTGTGGATAAACTGAAAGTGTGGATAAATGCTGAATCTCTTGTTTGTGTACTACTATAATACACCCACATTATCTTATTACCCTCGGCGCGCATTGCTTGTCTGTTACTCAACATCTCACTTCTCCAATGTTCATTCGTCTCACAAACGATACGACTTACTTAACGGCCAATGAAGGTCAGAAATTTCAAGCGGTTTTCTTTGAAACGGCTCCATTGCAAAGCTAGGGCGCGAAAAAACCAATATGCAATACATGACGGACTGGATGGCTTACCATGGTCTGATCGATCCGTGTGCTCTGCGTACCTCTGAGGCACCAGAAGATGCAACGCAGGGCGTGTATCGCCTCTCGCATGCTATCTAGTAGTGTAGTTTGCCTGCGTCAGACTCTGCGCGAGCTGGCAAGAGACCAGGAGGAACAGCTAACACTAAACCCAGCCCATCAATCAGTTGTATGGCACATGCCTTACGCGTGCGCGTCACAATGCACCGAGGGTTTGCACTTCAGTGCTTTTCATTATACATAGGTTGTTGTGGTGGGAGACCAGAGTGCTGGTAAGACAAGTGTGCTGGAGATGGTTGCCAATGCCAGAATATTCCCCAGGTACCACATACTTCATGACACATGATTATTGTCCCGTACTATCCTACGCCAACACTCCTTTGTGCCCATTGTACATATTATAGTACATGCAGCTTTCTATTAGTTGAATCCCACCACACCCTTATAGTTGGCATTTATTTCATTGTGGTGTGTTACCACATATATATTACAATTATATTAAGGTAAAGAGTTTTGAAGGAACAAAAGAGCTGTCCTGGGTGTAGTTGCGTTGTTTGCCTTTGCTGACATATATATAATATCTAATGAAATAACAGGGGTGGGGGAGAGATGATGACGAGGAGTCCAGTGATAGTGACACTGAGTGAGGGTCCTGAGCATGTGGCCGTCTTCAAAGACTCCACCAAGGTCTATGACCTCTCCAAGGAGGATGACGTAAGTAAGATACACCACTATACATGTACCACAGTCACAGTGCAATTATATGTATGTGATTATAGATCTGAAAGACACTATCACATTTTAAAACGAAATTTGTCGAAATATAGAATATCAGATTCATGTCCCCTGCAAATTTGAACACAATCACTTGTTCACCTGAAGCAATTATCACATTCCTAATCGTCTGGGATATAAACAGTGAATCATGTGATGCCAAGTTCATCCCACTGTGTATCCAGTTACTGAATGTCACTCTGAATATAATTCCACTACCTGTATAATTGTTCTAAACAAAGTTTAGCCACGTAGCTCCCATAATTGTACAAAGGGTGGGTAACTAGGCAGCTAAAAGAGTACTCTATGCATTTGCTATAGTGAGTTCTTGTGGACATAATGCAGCACATGCAGGGCTTGCATGCACAACAGGGCCACTGTTGTGCAGCCATAGAGTCAGAAGGCTTCATTGTAGTAGAGCTAAAGTCCCAAGTGAACCTGGTAGATTATGAACCTGATAGGAGTATGTTGTGTGTGCACAATGCATGTCATAATATTGCAAACAATCGTTATTCAAATGATATGTGACAGGCTCTGAGAAAACAACCCTTATCGCGCAAGTTTGAGCAGTGGTACATGCCAGATACCTGGGGCCATAAGAGTAGAATGGAAAGGGCTTTGAGCCTCAAATTTATGCAGGCTTTAGTTGATACACAGAGGTACAGTCTGCTAAAACCTAAAAGCTTGCACTCCTTCCTAATTTCACAATTACTGCTCCGGGAATCAGGCAAGTGCTACTAGTCGAACGTGAGCGATAAAGGTTGTTTTCTCAGAGGAGAGATTCTGAGTGGTTTTCAAGCAGGCCACGAACTTACTGTTCAGTGTCCATTATCCATGACGGGTCTTCACACAGCAGTCTGAGCCAATGCTAACTCAGTGTGTTGCATGAGTTAGCATGTGTCAACAAGGAGGTACATAACGAGGTAGAAAGGCAAGGCAAAGCAAACAAGTCAACTACATCCAGGACATGAACCTTGAGTGAAGCTTTCTGATGCGTCATTTGCACAACCACCTCGTTTTACGTACATTGTAGCACAAGTTACTAGCTTTGCAGTATCAGAAAAAGGAAGGGTTCAGTTTGTTAGAAGAAGTTTTCATGCATGCAGTTGACGAGACTGAGGAAGGAGATCGAGGGGAGAATGAAGAGAACAGTTGAGACCGGCAAGACGATATCAACTGAGGTATTCTGTTACTGTAGCACAAGAAGAGTGTTAGGCCCTAATTGTGAGTATTCATGAACGATTGAGTAGCAATTAGATACCGTTATAACCGGAGTATGCTGCCAAACACTTCTGTTATAGTTCCATATGCCTCATAGCGTTGCCATTACACAAGCTCCATCATGACTAAACAATGAGCATGTGAAAGATCCCATGTTGGATGAGACCCTTGCACTATTGCGACTTTCGCACTTTGGTGTACATACCAGTGTTCTAGGTAGGAAAAAAGCACAGAGCGGTGCTATCTGTCACCTAGGGGGTCTGGGGGCATGCTCCCCCAGGAAAATTTGAGCATTTAGACTCTCAGAGATTGAATCTGGGGGAATTTGAGGCAAATGTGGTAAATGAACGACACTCTTCCAGGCAGGATTGTAGCCTGTCTTGTGCTTCTCGCTACTTCCTTGAGCACAGCTGGAACTAGCGTTTCTGCGCTTCATCTTCTGACCACGGGGGTGAAACACGTGGGCAGCTTTTATAGTACTTACGTAAACTGTGAATACAATTATTCGAGCGCTTGCGCATAGAGCGGCGGGCAGTTGCAATAGAGCGGCGGAGTGGAACTATAGCGCGGCGCTGCACCGCTCTTCCGCGCTTTAACGAGAACCCTGCATACTATAAACGCAGCAAGATAGGGAGGGTAATTTGAGCATTATACAAATATTTTGGTTGATGCACTGTCTCAATATACCATATCCACTGAGATTTTATTACTGATACACTATAAGGACCTTATAACTGTGTGCTTTGCGATTGAGTACTATTAAGTACGATTAAGACTATGCTGCCAAACATGCCTGTTATATTTTCTATCAGCCTCATAGTGTTGCCATTACACAGGCTGCATAATGCCTATAATGACAGCCAGTGTAATACTGTAGCTAAGGGCCACAAACTTGGGGCAGCTCCGCTTGCCACTGTTAAAACATCAGCAGATCCCACTTTAGTTGCGACCTTGCACTACTATACCATTGGTCGTAAGTAAACACTGCAATATTGCATGGTTGAAGCATTTTCATTTTTGCTGTGTCCCACTGCTCCTTTTCCCCTCTGTCCCTGCCTCCCCCTCCCTCTCTTTCCTCTCTCTCCTTCACCCCTTCCCTCCCTCTCTCCCTCTCTCTCCTCTCTCCTTCACCACCTCCCTCCCTCACTCCCCTTCCCTCTCTCTCCTCTCTCCTTCACCACCTCCCTCCCTCCCCCCCCCCCTCCCTCTCTCTCCTCTCTCCTTCACCCCCTCCCTCCCTGCCCCTTCCTCTGACAGCCGGTGTCACTGGTGGTGTATGGTCCACAGCTAAAGAGGATGGTTCTGGTCGACCTCCCAGGGATCATCAGTGTGAGCACCCCAGTACTGTATACTCAAGTTGACACCAACTTTTATAACAGTTTCCTAAAAGAAGGAAATAGGTCTACAAAATAGTGCCAGAGCAATGCTTAACATGTCCAAAAACTGTTTTTGGTCACTACAATGTAAGAGGTGACTATATATAAGTATTATAGTCCATATTAATTACATAGATGTTGGATGTTACACAACCTTGATGATATGACTGTGTGTTTTAACTACCTGAAATCGACTCACCATCTGTTGATAACATGAGATGATTGTAGGGACAGGGTAAAATTGGCTCATTCTCTGCAGACGGTGACCACAGGAATGGCCGTCACCACCAGAGAAGAGATAATAAGATTGTGTAGGCAGTACATGGCCAACCCAAACGCCATCATTATGTGTATTCAGGGTAAGGCGGTGACACTACTCCACCTGCTGTCTCTACTTTAATGTGATCACAAAGCCCATTGTTGAACAACCTGTAGCCAACATATGTGTGCCCTAGGAATTTGTGTCCAACCTGTTCTGTATCCAGGGTGGGTGAAATCGTTGTGGAAGAATGTTTTTTTAAAATCTCTCTAGTCGCAGGATTGTAGTGTGCATGAGAGTATCTTGGCAACAACTATAATTATGTATTATGATGCTCGGTACCATGCCCATCCCTATAATATACTAAGTACTACCGTACTTAGTGATAGTGTACATGAGACTTGTGTTTTGCAGTAGTAAAAAACACAAGCTCTTTAAACGGTTTTCACATTCAGCACCAAACATAACTAGAGTATAGTTGGATTTTTCACGCATTTGACGCGTATTTAGAGCAGTGTCTAGCATAGTGGTATATGTGGCAGTGACCATTATGTACATCAGAAAAATCAAACAATAAAGACAGCGTCTAAAAACGTTGTTGCCTTCCAACACGCCGTACGAGGTTCTCTTATTGTGTGTGTCAGTGTTGTGTGGTGCTCTCTCGTTTGTGGGTGTAATTTGGCAATCTGTTGACTGGCATTTCAGATGGCTCCGTGGATGCAGAGAGAAGTATAGTGACGGACCTGGTGGGACAGATGGATCCTCCTGGTAGGGTCAACCCCTAATGATTAGCACTATTTGCATACAGATAACAGATAATTGCCCTATGCATCTATGCATACCTACATACTAACTGTCTCGCAGATTTGTATTTGTTTATTGTGGGCTGAAGCATACTGTTCTTTGCAGAACCCATAGATGAATGTGCATGCCAATGGTATTGGCATTAATTGCTACACTATGCATATGGTAGAGCAGCTGTAGAGAGAGTTTCAGTTTTTGATTTATGTGTATACTCACAGTTTGCCTTGTAAACTGTTTATTCCTGTCTCTAGCAATGAGGTGGGCAGGTGTTGTTTGGACATTAAGTATGTACCCTAAGCCTGCAGCTAGTTTTGTGGGGAGACTTATGACATCAGTGTATACATGCCACATGTAACGCTTTTTTGGCAAGCAAGCATGAGAGTCACGGCATGGGCATATTTACACATCTCCGTTACGAGTAGCTTGTAAACATAATGCTGTGTGAGATAGCACCAGATGAAAGGGCCCCCATTCAGATAAGTTAGTCATGGGCGATCTAAGCTAGACAATGACCTTACTCGTTTTGCTCTGCCGGTACTGCTCTATGCCTGCTGCTTGTCGAACCCTGAGGGGAAGATGTGTTAAGTCTGGGTACTGTGTGGTGTGTATCCATGTTGGTATGATTTTTGTTGGAATGCCACTATAATGTGATTGCTTCTGAGGACCTAGGTCACACTACTGAGTGTGCCAACCCTGCAGGTCAGAGGACGATATTTGTTCTGACTAAAGTGGACATGGCTGAAAGGAGTGGCATCAAACAGCAGAGAGTGAGGAAGATCCATGTGGTGGACCCATGCACGCTCCTCCCACTATAATGGGGAATCAGACCTCTCAACTTTGGTCGAAAGTGGCGACCTCGCAAGCATTCATGACGTCATAGAATATTCCCACTGCGCATGTGGCTGAAATTGGTGACATGTGTGGCAGCTCCTTGTGCTAATTGTTGTACGTATTAGTGGAAATTTTAAACATGGTTCCTTGCAGTCTGCATGAGTTTGATTGGCATGACATTTTGCATCTCTTTGCATGTGAGTTGATAGTGAGTGGACACTTGAGTGCCTGTGTCTCTAATGCAGACTTGGTTCACTTTCTCTCTCTCTCTCTCTCTCTCTCTCTCTCTCTAGTGGGAAACATCTCATGCATTTGCAGGGTACAAATACAATGAGGAGTGGGTAAATCCATGATCCACGTCTAGAGATACAGCAGCACGACACAGGGCCCACAGGCACGTACAACCAAAACAAAGACACAAAACACTAGATACAACGAAAAGAACAAAACTAAATGTTTTGTTTCGGGAAAACCAGATCTGATGACCCATAGCTGCTGGTAGTGGGCAATGAGCGTCGAGGTCCCTGTTGGTCATCTCTCTCGCCCTCTCTCTTTCTCTCTCTTTCTCTCTCTCTGTTTTTCCTTTCACTTCCTTCTCGTCTCCTTAGATGCTGTCAATTCTCGACGGTCAACTGTTCCCAATGAAAGCTCTCGGGTACTATGCCGTCATCGCCGGCAAAGGTTAATAATTATGGGAAAAGGGCACATGGGTCTACTCATGTGAGTGTCAGTTTCTCTCTCATTCATGGGCTAGTTTGAGGCACCGCTAGACTTACCCAGTAACCTCTGTTGCCTTCAAAACACACTAGCAATAGTCTACGGGCCACAGTAGCGATTTCCAACCTCGAAAATTTAGCATGGTCAGAAAAATGTTTTACATACCTAGCAAAGACGTCTTACTACCGCCGGTAATCGGTGCTCTAGAGTGGAGCGGACGACTGCATCTATCACACAAAATTTGTGTCTAAAGAATCCAAAAGTAGCTATAGTCCTTACTAGCAATGCCTTTTCAGTTACAGAGTATGGCAGCACTGATTATCCTGGCCCTTACTGTTTTGAGAGTTGTATACTCACTGATGCTCTACTAAATAATAAGCTCAAGAATTTGTCGAGTAAAATCCTAGTGTACCTTACTGTCAATGTCGAAAAGAATTGTGTACTAGTTTAACACACACCCAGACACCACTGTGTAGCTAACCCCTGTCTGTGCACGTACTGTACACACCAGTGGTTGATAATAGGAGGTTGAGAAGAAACGTAATATATCCTGTAGACATTAGTGATGTTATTCATATTATTGAGTGTGTGGGGCCTCCTCCATGAGTGTGCATTGACCACTGGACACTGCTGTTTTTGTATAGCTACAGAGGAAGTTAAGATCTCATACCAGGTCTGTGTATATATGTATGTGTGACCCAGGTTCCAGTGCAGACTCCATCAGGAGTATCCAGCACTATGAGCAGAGAGTACTTTGCCAAATCCAAGCTCTTCCAGTAAGAACGGTGTAATGGGGACCAACGATTTTGCCACTTGTAGAGGGGTCGTCCCTATCTCGGAGGTCAAATGATTTCCCCAGCGTATTAGCTTTGGGTGTAAACAAATTTCCGTTATAGAGTCGTCCCTGTCTCTGTGGGTTACTTGTATCGGAGGTTCCACTGTATAATTATTTAAGTGTATGTGTATGTACTTGGATAATTGCACGACGTGTGTTGTATGTGACACAATGGCAGGAATGGGATGTTGCGAGAGGCCCAGCTATCCACCAGGAACATGGTGAATGCAGTGACTGAAGAATTCTGGAAGATGGTCACTGCCTCCATCAATGACCAGGCACTCCACTTCAAAAGTAGGCATCATATATAATATGCAGAGTCACTACCATAGTTGGACATACATAATTGGCGAGCGGGAGCGAGCCAACCTAGTCGTTAGTTCGAGTGGATTTTTCTATTTACATATATACGACAGCGTACGTCGTGTAAGTGCGCATGCGCGGCTTTGTACGTGTTTCTTTTTATCCGAAATTATTTCCTAATTTTTACAAATTTTCACACACGGTACCTCGCGATATGGGCCGATCGATCTAGCCAGCGAGAGAATTCTCCTCCATTCGGCGGCATGCCGTTCTGCTCACCTGCTAACCGTTCTGTCGATGTACCATACGCATGCAACGGCGACAGGTAGATCTGTCTTGCTTCACGAAAGGAAAGCTGTGCGCTGACGGCACATTATGCAGCCCGAACATCGCGGGCAAATCCCAAGTTGGGTTACTCCCGCTCGCCAACAATGTTTAACATTTCAACTAGTAATATGTACATGGATAATGGTGTATCATAGCCCTTTTAAGTAGACCAGTGTTGCAGGAGAAATGTTGGATTGCTATTGTTGTTCGTATGGGAGATATCTACCAGAAGTGTTTGCATTGCTATAATGTACGTACCAGCAGTAATCCCTGTCTGGGTAGCAGGCGTGAATGCATGTGAAAACTACGAGGTAGAAAGGCAAAAAAGGCACAACAAACAAATCAACTACACCTAGGACAGTTCTTTTTTTCCAAGGAAAAATAAAGAGCTGCCCCCAGATCCAGCGGTAGACTGTATATACTCCCAGTCCTCTGGAAGATGTTATTGCAGCAGTCTGTTCCCATTCCCGCGAGGAAGGCTAGGTTCGAACCCACGACACTCTGCAGTCTAGGCGAGCGCTCTAGGCAAGCGCTCTACCAACTGAGCTACCAGGGAAACTCAGCTGGTAGGGGTTCGAATCTACAACACAACACAACACAAGGCAAACCTCCAACCACTGTGCTATGGCACACTCACTTAGCATGTATGAAAGTCTTTGTCCAAGAGTTATGTTTGCCATTACTATCTGTGTCGTCTGTGGCTGTGTTTTTGTGTGTTCAGCTCTGCGCTACAATCTTGAGGCAGAATGGAGGAATAGGTATCCTGGAGGTAGGACCCTCGACAGGGTAAGTTCACATCCCTCCACTGTGTAGTGGGAAGCTATTATGCCTCTGTTGTTACAATACTTAATACTTTAATTAGGTATTTTGAGAGAATTTTTTCTATCACTTTCTTGAAGCAATTACTGTAACCCTCGCTGCACATGCACGACGAGGGTTAAATATTTGTGCAAGGGGACTGTCGTGCGCTATTAACCCCCAGCGCGCAAGCGCAGCGAGGGTTACAGCACTTGGTCTGTGTGTCCGTCTGTCTGTCTGTACCTGTTTTCTGCATGCGCAGTTCGTCGAGGGTTTGCACTTAGTGCTTTTCATTTTATCAATGAATGTTAACCAGGCACGCTGGACAGTCAAATGACTACCACAGCTAAAGTTCGTTTACTGAATAATTTTTCATGCAATTAAAAATAAGTCACGTAATTTTTTGTGTTGTTGTCACTCATTCAACTTTTATTTCAGAATGATCTATTTGAGCTAGGGAAGGCAGACATATTGAACCATGTGGCCAGTCTCCAAGTCTTCAAACCGGCCACCTGGTGGGTACAATTACCTAACTATTGCACACATGTAGACTCCCCCAGTTCTGCTTGTTTCTATCACTGTTAATGATAGGTACATTTAGCTGTACAACATAATCATGTATATACACGTTGTACGTATCAATAGGTTGAACAATGCTAAAAGTAGGTATCAATATCCCTCTCCAGGGAGGGTGTTCTGATGGACAGTTTATGGACGGAGGTGGCTCCTCATGTGCTGGAGATATTCATAGAGGCAGCACAGGGCCAGTCCCCTGGGTAAGTCCTCTAGTGTCCATCTCTTACCAATTCCTTTGTATGTATGTGTACAGGGAGTTCAACACCAGTGCTGATATTCAACTGCACAAGTGGGCAGACAGTCACCAGCTGGCCGAGCTGTGTGCCAAGGTATACACACACACATGCACGTGCCACAAAATGTGCCACTCTATGGCTCAAAACCTGTATGACGTGATAAGCATACCCCTTAGCATGCTTGATTCTTGCATTGCATGCTATACCAAATCTGAGTGTATGGACAAAGTCCACGAAACGGCCATTAACTTGTCCATGTGTAAGCTAGTGCTCGTAAGTACAGGAGTGTCAGCAAAAGTTGACAAACAGTTCTGACCTAATCGCAGTCATTGCATAACATACTAACTCTAGCAAGGTAATAATTGCCTTACAGTGCTTATGTGTCAGCATAACTTTCATGTGTATGCAATGTGACTTGTTACTAATACTGTAGGTTGGTCTGGAGACTATGTTTGCCCAGCTGCACACTAAGCTGGAGGGGGAGGAAGGGGGAGGGGGAGGAGGTGTGGGAGGTGGAGGGTGGGGGGTTGTGGGTGTGGGAGGAGGAGGGGGAAAGTTCCACTCCCTGGGACAGGGTCTGAGAGAGGAGGTGGAGAGACTTAGCAAACAGAACCATCGCTGGGAGAGCTACAACGTTGATCAGTTGGTGCGTTTTTCATTCAAACTCTTCTTACTCTTTGTTATTTTTTGCTAAGAAGTTTTTAGTGGCATAACTCACTTTGTGCACTACCTAGTCAGATCATCACATGATATTCCTTTTACTGTCTCTTCCTAGTATGTATACTTCTCAACTGGTAAACTTGGCTCCATCTTGCACAATGCAGAAATACGTCCAGATGTCAGCACTGGATGATAAAGATGTTCCGTCGGCTGAGCAATGGAGAGACGCTGTGACCTTCATGACCTCCGCTCTCAGTCGCCAGATCAAGGAAGCTGAAGATGATCTACAGAAATTGGCAGGGCCCACCTCATTTTACGACCGCTGGGTGCTCTGGAAGTCCCAGTCCAGCACTCAAGTTAGTGAAACCTGCTACTAACAAGCCTATGTCCACAATGAGCCAGTGTGGGTGACAAATGTGTGATCTCTTATGCTCACACGAGATTAAATTTAACCCTTAGCCAGCCATGGGCATATTATAGCAGAGCCTCCATAAGTCCATAAGAATTTATATATGGCTATAATACTAGGAGGTAATACGTTATATATCAATTTCTGCTTATTAAGGAGATACCCATGGCGTCCAAATGGTTTTAAGTGGATCAATAATCATTATAACACTTTGGACATGTTAGTGAAGAGAAGAATGCTACTGTGTAATTTAAATGGCAGGTAAGAGCACTATAATAGCAAAATACGAGGCCTGGATAGAGCATGGGGGCACAAGTCTTTCATGCGTTCGTAATTCATCTACTTACAGTTCTCTTGTCCACGATGGTATTAGGTGGTGAAACGTGCAGCAGCTGAAGAGTTGAGCAAGTTCCTTGCAGCAGAACCTGTAGGTCAATGACAGTCTCACTGTGACTGGGTCCTCCTAGCCCTAACTTATTAAATATATACTGCCCTTTCCTTTTCCCAGTCTCATCCAAGCAAGCTGTTTACAGATGAACTAATGACAGTCCAAAGAGTTTTGAAGACCCAAGGTTAGGTTGCAAACAACTACTTGCTCTGTTGTGTCGGTGAGGAGCAGTCGGACTTGTTGAGTCATTGTTTCAGCATTATAAGGAAAATTTTTAGAGTGATTGTGAGGCATGGTTTGGAGCAATTTCAGCCAAAAATCAGTAACAGGTTTTAATGCTCACAGGCCTAGCTACACAGAATGTTTTGGGCAATTCCTAGGAGAGGGGGGCAAAGGGAATCCTGGAGGTGAAGCCTCCTTAACCAGGTAATGGTTTCAGTTCTGAATGCTTTCTTGATACACATTTGTTGCTCAGTAGCTCAAACTAAAACTGATTTGCATTAGAATGGTGTAGCAAGATGTAGCTACCCTACTGCCTGTGTTTCACAACACTAAGTGGGAACTTTCTTTAGAACCAACTGGAGTTTCTTTGTTAATGTTGTGGGTAGCAACCATCGAAAAAGCAGTAGTTGAGAAGTATACTTCATGCATACGAATGTTTCCCCGAAAAGCACAGAGTTCACTGGCTAGCTGTCAGGGTGGCTACTAGTCTGAGACATACTGCAATAGTGCTCATGTTAATGTGTATTATACATTCATCTTTACAGTAACCCCAATTTCATAATGCACTCCCAATCAGACTAAAGTCGGCAGCAAAGTGAAAAGAAAAAGAGGGCTTACAGTTTAACCAGTTTAGATACTCAGATCTTGTTCGAAGGGAGGCCCATTAATGTTAAATTCCTGTGTAGGTCGTAAATTTTGGACCTGCAGCTAGACCAATGTCTTGGCCTCGATTTTGGGTCATCACATCTAGTTTATAGGGTCTAAGACTGGGTAGTTATGTTTGAGGTCCAGACAAGTGCGGTCTTAAATCTTAGCCAGCCGCGTGCATAATTATATATATATGCCCAGAGACTCCATAGGTAAGTCCATAAGAATATTATATATATTATGGGTATAATACTAGGCGTTAATGTGTTATACAATTTCTGCTTATTTGAGGAGATACCCATGGCGTCCAAGGGGTTGTTTATTACTACAAGTGGAAAAATCATTTCTTCAAAATGAAAGGGGGATATAGGGATGGCTTGAAGCACCAAAAAGGAAGAAACAAGGGGTCATTACACAGCAAAGATGCACAAAGCTACATGACACCATCCCTATATCTTTGTCTCATATTAAACTTTACTTCAAGGTAAACTGTTGCAGAGTGGAAATGACGGAGACGGCAAGCGCGGCTCTTTCCCAATTAGGGAGGAAAATGTCAGCAGGGCGAGATTGGTTGTGAACAATAACACAAAGATATAGGGATGGTGTCATGTAGCTTTGTGCATCTTTGCTGTGTAATGACCCCTTGTTTCTTCCTTTTTGGTGCTTCAAGCCATCCCTATATCCCCCTTTCATTTTGAAGAAATGATTTTTCCACTTGTTTCCACTATTTTTCACGCCTTATGACAACACTGCATTTTCAGTCACTCTGATGTTCATGGGTGTTGTAGAGATAACTGTTGAAAGCAGAAGCTAATGGGCTGCTCCTACCTGAAGCAGGGTGTATGTGTAGTGTCTCCAACAAGGATGCAATTAGATTGTGGCACATATGGTGGGGTGGTTTCATAGGCAGGCTTCAGTAATCAGACTACAATGATAGCTATAACCTGGGGGACAAAGAATGAAGGCGCCTGGCAAGGCACGCGTAACACGGCGCAGATTGCCAAGTTTCTCCTCGTGCAAATCAACAGCAAAACGCAAGCTAGCCACTTACAAATGTGCACACTGACTTACAGAAGGCACCGAAGGATGAGAGTAGTTTTCTCTGAAGGCATCCAGTCCTGGCTTAGTCTCGTTCGTGGACCAGGTTTACGAGACAAAATGCGCGCGCGCCGCATTGGAAACGCCCTCCTCGGCGCATGCGGCTCACTGATGCTGAGTTAGCAACAAATGGCGTTGTTCAGTGACTACCGAGGAAGAGCTCAACGATCTACCGTAGTGACTTGCGGCAAGAAAGAAACGATCGCTTGATATGCATGCACACCTCCGGCAAATTCGGAGACGTTCTGTGAAAAAATCAACGCTTCAAGTGCTTCCGGTAAGGAGCTAGCGGGTCTGAAGAAGAAGAAGAAGAAGAAGAAGAAGAAGAATATGATGATGACACGAAAATCGTGAAATCGCGTATGAGCGAATTCTCGCGTGGACGACTGAAGGTGCGTATGAGGTCTTGGGGGACATGTATAGGTAGATATGGGCCCGTAGACTATTGCTAGTATGTTTTGAAGGCCTAGGGAGTGATTCTCACCGAGATTTTAGTCGTTTTGTACGCGGATCACGTGAGATTTCACCCGTGTCGTCCCTATATAGAGAGTCTACCGACTCTCTGATAGTGTGTCATTGTGTACACTACTCAGGTCATGCTGCAAGTGAGGAGGACATCCAGGAGTCGTGGCGACACCTCTACCACCTCCACTTCCTCAAGAGAGCAGAAGAAACTGCACACAAGTGCCAGCGAGGATTTGTCCTCAGACAACACAGCCCCGAGGTCTGTCTGTTTAGTGGAGGGTACACAGTGGCAGTGTACGTGACATGCTCTGGGAACAGCATTTTACGATATAGCTACATGTATACATGTTGAGGTTAAGGCGTAAGAGTTAACGGAGGGTGGTAGCAGTGGGCCGTCGGTGGGTGGCCAACCCACGGAGCATGCACGAGAGGCGAAGACATCAACAGTGGAGCATGCACACATGACGAGGCCACGTGGATCAGGAGAGAGAGAGCACGGGGAGAAGTTAGGTGAGAGAAAAGTTACCCCACCCTTAGTGGACCCTCCTCGATTCTCAGTGCATGCGTGGGTGTGGGTATAATAGATGGCATGATTGTAGGAGTGGGTACAGGCTTAGACCTAGCGTGGTGTACTCAGTTCTTGGACCATGGCTCCATTACTTCCATGGTTTAGCCCCTGTGATTGTACTCCGGGCAGGAGGGAGTGGCAACACCCTCCTCTCATCCAATACTCTGTGGCTATTTAGAGGGGAGGAGCCATGTGTAGGCATGGCAACCAGGATGCCACTCCCACTGTCCGGGTACTACCGTCAAGCCAGGATTGTAGGAAGCTGATCGTACAGGGTGGCAAGGGCGGGGTGGTTAACTGTGGTATTAAACACTCAGTAATCACACCTTAAGTGATTTTGTATATAACTACACACAAACTCTCTCTTCATATACTATTGTGTCTTGTGGCAGTGAATGGCAGTGGCTTATATGGTCATCAGGTTTGTATAATCTAATCTGTATTCAGGCAGGCATAGGGGCTAGCTCAGTTGGTAGAGCACTCACCTAAACTGCAGAGTGTCGTGGGTTCGAATCCCACCCAGAGCAACTCTTCTTCTTTCCTTGGAGCTGTCCTGGGTGTAGTTGACTTGTTTGCCTTCCCTTGCCTTGCCTTTCTACCTTGATACCAAGTTGTTGATACATACACATATAAAAGTGTAAGGCCAATCACCCCCATTTTTCTTCAGCAAAGGAATGTAAGGGTGCTTTTCCCAGAGCACGTCACATAATAGAACCTATGGAAATCCGGACACATTGTTCGTCCTATAGTAGTGATTACAAAAGCTTTACTGTGACTTGTTTGTGTGTACTGCCATTCACAGTATGCTTGTCCAGAAGTGGAGTATTTCTGGAGAGTTCAGCAAGTCATGAAGAGCTCGTCACACACACTTAGAGTACAAATACTAGACAGAGAAGGTAAAAACTCTATTACGTATGCATCCCGTATTGACCATGCGTAGATGATAACTCTCTCTGTAAGGCCCTTGGCCGTGCAGTGTTAACCGTGATGAATTTTTTGCTTGGGTAAATTGTATGTTTGCTTGCAATTTAAATTGGCAAGCATAATGTTCAACTGTGCGATTACACACTTCTTTTGATGTGAAATGCCTGCTTGCTTCTGCTCATAAAATACTAAATGCCCTGCATTTGCCTACATACTAGTTGTATAAACATGTAAAGGATCGTTTCAATGCAGGAAGCATAATTATATATTCGCCGGCGGACCCGCCCCCTTCCCCGTGGGAGGTGTATAAATACACTCTGCCACATGTCCACATTGTATTGCATAATTGCCACTGTGCGCAAATTTGCGAGACCAATCAAGGTACAATTGAAGGGCCGAGAACCAGAGTGGTATATCCCAAAATAAGTATGGCACAATTGCCTAAAGAATGCAAAAATGGGGGAAATATGGGGTAGGGTATACTTTGAAAAGTGATATATGGGATTTTGCAAAAGATTGTCTCCTTCCAAAACACGTTTTAATGGTAGTAATTTCATGTCCAGGGGGTATAAATGGCCCTTTGTTGGTTACACCATTCTGGTTCTCTACCCTTCAATTACTGAATGGGTAATATACAGGTCTCCCTGCGTTAGCAGCAGACAGTTACAATGGAGCGTATTATGCCCTAATACTGTGTTGTTTTGTGCAGTTCGTCAGCTAGAGCAGCAGATCAAGAGCATCCTGGACTCCATCGCAGTCAGTGAGGAGAGGAAGAAAGGGCTGATCAGAGGAGATGCTGTCGACAAGGCTGAGCAGCTCAGTGAGTCCTGGGGTTCCAGTGGTACCTACCTACCTAGTTGGCTGAATTGCAGTCTCATTCGACAATGCACACTCGCAAACAACCTATACAGCAGTTTAAAGCTTGCATGGTATAGTGTCAGCTTCCCAAGAATGTGTTACAGCTGGAGGTGGTATATATATAACTTGGAAAGAAAGCTACGGTTAAGACTCCGAAAAAGGACCCTTCAAATAAATGACACTTCCCTGTACGGGACACTTGGTTCTGCCCCTAATAAATAAGTGTATTATAATATATACTACCTCCTAAAAGGACGCCGACACTTTCAATGTACCCAAGGTGTCTCTTAATCAGAGGTTTCACTATTATTTACTGTATAGCTATAGCACAAACCCTGTGTGGAATGTCAGCAAACGTGTGCGTCACCGCGTCTGTGTGTGTGTCAAACATTAGTTCATGAGTGTGTGGATTAATGCATTGTTCAACAGTTGGTAGGCTCTTCCACATTAATTACCCATTCTCTAATGCTGGTAAATGTAGCCTATTATGCCATTGATCCTCCACGATTATTCCATGTTGTGCTCTCAACAAAAATCAAACGTTACAACAAGTCTCTTTTGTTGTATTGGAGCATTAAGGACGATTCGATATAGTCTTCCATGGAGTGTTTCTGTTGCTTGCAAAATGAGAGTTGTTCAGAAGAGAAAAAACTCTCCCAACAGCTGTCGACGAAGGCTGAACAAAGGAGGGCACACTTCCATGCTTCGATCAGCTGAACAAGGTACATAGTTTTGACTCGTTACTCTTCCACCATTCTAGTCGTGTTGAACTTCCGCAGCAGCAATATACATTGGTAGTTCAAGCTTAAGGTCTTCCAACTTACATATCACTCAGAAACGGGAACGTTTGAGTTCATCAACAGCTGCAGTTGTTGGCTTCATTTCCATGAACTTTAGATGGTGAAAACAGCCGTGCTGCCTTTAAGGCAGACACCACCAGACTAAGCTCTTAATTAACGGAATCAAATTTCTCCTCAAAGAAATCTTTGGCTGGCTGGATGCATTGAGTTGCATAATCGATGTAAGTTTCAAAAGCAGCTTCTGCAGCAGTTGCTCGTGCAATAGTCTTTGTGTTGGGGTAGTATGCTGTTGAAAAGGAAGCAGACACCTTACTGAGTTCTTTGTAGCCTTTAAATAGGAGTGGCCCATCACCTTCAAGCAAATACGTTTCCTCGACAAGTGGTCTGCCAGCATCTATTACAGCAGCAGCAACCTCCATTTTCGATAACACACGTTTCTGAGAATGAGACAACATAACTTTTCCTTTGTTGCCGGCGCCATGTCATTGTTCCGCAGAAACCCCTCAATGCCTCCATACAAATTGTGCACCTGTTCTATCACTTCCCACCGGGACCACCATCGAATTTCGGAGTAGGAACGAACTGATACGCCAGTGGTGGCCTTCCAGGCAATTCTGGCTTTGGGACTGTGGCGAAGAGGGAGATCCAATGCTTGGTACACTCATCCAGGTTTGGTGTTTTGAACTCTTAAGGTTCTCATAGCCACACCATTGACAGAACACCTGTCTCGCATTGCTGCTAAGAGGTGACCAGAAGCTATTCCAAGAATTGACAGTATTGCAATCAACTCACGTGCTACCTCTTTGTCACTAGCAGTGCACAAACTAAACGCTGTGTGGTTGTCCAGTCACTGCTCACATACCTGACGACAATAGCCATTTCCTCTGCCACGTGAGTGGTTCCATCGAATATCACTGACACTTCTCTTTCTTTTATCTCTTCCTGTGTTTGTCTCGGCTCTTTGGATCTAGTAAAAGGTATCAAATCATGCATGTGTTGACTGCTAGATAGGCTGAAAGCCGATTCTTCTATATATAATAGTTCAAGGAAGCTGTTGATTTTTTGTAGTGGAATACCAGCTCTTAAGAACGGCTGAACCACTTTTACACGATACACACGAGTGTTGTCAGACAATATCACTCCCTTTGGATGGACCGGCTTGCTGTATCTCTGCAGTGCATCCACATGCTTTTCTTTCTCTTTCAGCCGACCCTTTGATGATTTATGTTTCATTGATTGGACATGATTCTTGACCACGCTCTTTTTCACCGAAAGTTCCTCTCTACACACTCTGCAGAACAGTTGGCCTGCAGTCACGCAAAGACTATCTGCAGCAAACTCCCTCACACGATCTTGGGGAGACACTGATTTTAGCACGGTACAAGCAGAGCCACCTTTCCAACCTTTCTGACCAATGGGCGGTGGATTCGTTGTCTTCATAGCTAACTCAGATGGAACTGGCGATCGAAGTTTGTCCAGCAACAATACAACACTGTTTCCCTCTGACAGAGCTTCGGATTCTCCTCCACTATAGCTGCCACTGGAAACGCTACATGTAGCTTCAGTACTATCACTAAAAGTCATAATTTCTGCATTTCTGGTCTTGGGTTGGTCTCTGGGTTGCATTCTACACTCCGGAGCAAACCAACTGTACGTAACCTTTAGGAATTTTATAATTATTTTGTTGCTGTTCTCTTTCTGTTTCAGAACAAGTCCGCATGATCCAGGAGAAGTTAGACACCTTTAGAGAAGCTCTGGCCAAGCAACAGAAGGGCCACTCACCAAAATGAACTATAATAGTTATTCTTTCATATTGTCTTCAGAACTCAATGTAATGTGGGCTGCATAATTATTATTAGAGTTATAATTATATAATACGAGTATTACTACTCCCGGCACAAATGAGAATGTTGAGAATGTATCTGGTATTATGTATACCCCACTGTGCAGTACTTTATGCGTTCTGGACACCTTTGCGTGTCCGTTCGTGGCTGGTAAAGTGTAATTATGTATGTCGGGGCTAAACTCAGGTCTAACGAGTGCCTAATTACGCACTCTGCTCTTAACCCTTTGGGCGCAATTTACATTATATAATGCACAGAGCCTCCATAAGTGCATAAGAATTTATATATGGCTATAATACTAGGCGCTAATATGTTATACATCAATTTCTGCTTATTTACCTATGGCGCCCAAAGGGTTAACCCTTAGCAAGCCGCGGGCATATATAATATGCTTACAGCCTCCATAAGTCCATAACAATTTAATATATGTGGCTATATACCCATGGCGTCCAATTGAGAAATCCTAATTGTAACCAAAGAAAAAATCCTAAGAAATCCTAATGATACTGATTTTCATTAAAAACTCATTAATAATGCCATATTGTCATACAGAAAACGAAAAGTGTTAGATCTCATGAATAGCATTCTTGCATCGTCAAAGACGTTCGTCACTTGGCTTGAATTCGAAGCAGTTCTGTTGCCGACTAAACTGAATCATCAAAAGAGCATTGAGAGTTGATATCGAAGGCTGTTTCTCGTGTTTGTTTTGTTTAGTCCAACATGACTGAAGAGCCGCTCTGTATCGGCATATCCATGGGGGATCACTATGACAGCTTTAGCCAATGTATATAGTCAAAATCGGAAATCGGGTATATAGTGAGCAACTCCAGTGAGATTCTGAATTTTACTGACAGCATGCCAAAATCAATCAACTTTGTTATGGACTTAACATCAGAAGGAAGTGAGTGATGCAATAGTCCATAAACTCTTCCATTAGGAAACAAATTTCTTCTGTCTTGATAACCTGAGGTAAATGTTTAGCAGTAGTTTGTACTTGGCTTGATAGGCTATACTGTTGTAAACCAGGTTGAATCCATAGCAGAGTGTGGTCAATTCAGTGCCTCCTTAGCTGCCGTATATATACAAGTGCAAAAATCTTTTATTTGAAATGAAAGGGGATGTAGG